AATGTTCATCCAAATCCGTTCAGTAATTTTTTCGCGATTGAGTAACAAACAAACAAACTCACTTTCGCATTTATAATATTAGTAAGGATACTCGGGGTAATGTCGCATTTTTTACCTATAAACATACCTGTTAGCTTCGTGCTCCTTATCTGCAAAAATAAAATAGTCTTATGAGTTCAAAAGAGAATGCCGAAACCCGGGATCGAACCAGGGACCTTTAGATCTTCAGTCTAACGCTCTCCCAACTGAGCTATTTCGGCCTGTTGAGAGACGTTCAAAAACATCAAACACTTACTCCAATTTTACACTAAATAAATACAGCTTAAAAACGATCACATTTAATTAATTTAAAGCGATAAAAGATATTTGCAATGTTACAGACATTAAGTAAAGATATTGTTTTCAAAATTTATTTTGTTCCAACATACTTTTGTGCAAAGTGGCGCCATCTATGAAAACAGTGTAAAAACACGTAGTAACTTGCAGAACCTATGTGGTTGCTGCTCCAATTTGAGAAGTATGCAATTTTATCAAGCAAATTGAGCCTGATGAAGATTTATACCCTATTTCTTTCACAGTTTTGTTTGTAAATCAGAAAATTGGAGACCTTGATTTTCCAGATATAAATATATAGGGAAAAAAACTAGAAATCCTCACAAATCAATATTATAAATGTTCATACATCAGGCAACTACAATTTTATGCTGTTTCATTTTACTGTTCCTGCTTATTAGTTCTGTAACAAATACCTCTACCGAAAACAATTAATGATAATAAAATGTTACTAGAATCCTCTTATAGAGGCTTAATATATTTTTAAACTCTACCTAATGCAAGCCGGTGTGCTGAGTGGGTTATGTTATGATGGTAGAGGAAAATAATTGCAATACCTAGTAAGAATGAAAGTTCTCCTAATTCTAAATTAACTATTGAAATTAAGGAAAATCTCTTACATATTTAAATGGAATTTTAAAATGATACTGAATGGATTGAACCTGCAATCCCAGTGTTGTACATAAGGAACCTGAAGAACTAAACACCACAACCAAGTATTTCTTAACATTCAAATATGTTTTGTTCTTTGCCACCTCAAGGTATCATAAATAAAAAAGAAATAATGCACCCTACTTTTTAAAAATAGGCAAAAATTTAAAAACCATAACTTATGAGACATGAATAAAGTAATTTGTATGTGTCATATACCTACTGGGCTCGATTTGGGCTCTCATCAAAATTTAGTAATTTTTTTCTGTTGTGAGGGCTACAGCAAACCCGCCCTTAATGTTTGACAGACAATGTAAGAACTACATGTAAACGTGTAAAAAAGAACCTGTTTCTGGTGTCTCCGGGTCCTGCACCTGAACTGCTTTATCAGCTGCGACCTGTCCAACATCATCTAATATCACACCGCAGCTTTTGTACAGACGAGAACGCAATTTCATCTGCTTGTCAGTCTCATGATAAGCTTTAATCTCATCCTGTGAACAAATACTTATTGAAATGTTGTTTTAAAAAGGAAACCATAACAGAAGCTTTAGAAAAGAAACTTACTTTTAACTCCTTTAGTCTACAATGTGACCTACTAGAGTAACATTGTCTAAGGTGCGTATCCGCCCAGGTTTCACTATCACTATTTGATATTACAGGAGCGGAATTTCTAGCGCGAAGTTTTGGCACAGTTTGTCTAACGTTCTTGGTAACGGGCATATGGCGATGTGGTGATTTTGAGGGATTTAGGGAAGGAATAGTCCGCCTAGGTTTCACAACAAACTTTTTACGTGAGGTCACTTCAGGAGTATAATCATTCAAAACTATAGGAAGTTCATTGAGTATGGAAGAACTAACGTTCGAAACAGATGGTTTGGCGCCAACGGAAACAGTTGAAGGTATTTCATGTCGCGTAACGAGAGACGAAGACTTTAAAGGATTCCGAGATTGGTTTTGTACACGAGACATCACTCTATCGTACTTATTTACTCGTTTTTTGGCCGACAAATCCATTGTTATTTGCAAAAAACCTAGAATTATTTATTGTTTTGCTTCAATGAAAACAACATGTCATATTCTTGTTACTAAACTTTCTTTCATTATTTTCGACAGTATGCTTCACATTTTAGTAAGAATCACGATCCGTTTGAGCGACTTTCGTAAAATTATCAAAAAGCTCGCTTGAAGAAGAACACTACCTATTGTCAAACAAATTAACTGTCAGTTTGATGTTTTGTCTTTTAATTTTTTTAGGCATAGGATTTTGAATACAAGTTTTATCAGAGAGAGAAATGTGCTCAGGAGTCAAACGAGCCCAAAAAGCAGGTAGGAAGTTTGGATAAAGTGCTTGAAGTTGAAAGCGACGTTAAATGCCGTCAGTCTGAGCTGTATTAGCTTGGAAATAATAAAAGAGTATTTCATCAGAAATATGCAATTGTGAAGTCATTTCGAATAATTAATTTATACAAATTAAAGTTTTTGGACTCTTTATTTGCTATATTTAGTTAAAACGGTCTTTCGCTTGCTGTTGCTTTAAATTGGTATATTTTAATTAATCTATCTTTACGATCGTTTCAGTAGCACTAGTAAATCTAGCTTTACAAGTACCCACGAAACCATATTTAGTTTGGGAACATGAAAAAGTATTACATAATGTGTCATCTTTAAATCAAAGGATGTCAGTGATAAGTAAAAAAAACTGCCTGATCGTCATTACCATGTACCGAGGTTTACCGTGTTTTATATTCTTCACAGAGTACTTTTATGATATGCTCCACGGTGATGACCGTTCCAACACGGTGATGACCATAATACTCTTTTGAAATTCAAAACGAACACAGCATTTTTTTTTATTGAGCTTTATTTCTTTTCCATATCAAAGATGCTAAAAGCGAAGAAACTCTCGAAGAATAAGATACTCAGAAAGAAAAAAGTAGCTACAAAGACAAGAAACACAAAGTAGTTTTGCACTTGTAAGGAGTGTATTGGAGGCTTGGGTGAGGTCGCAGAATGTTCTTGGAGTGCTGTGTGACTTATGCAAAGCTTTTGATTGCGTTGATCATCACACGCTGTTATTGAAATTGAGTCATTATGGAGTCAAAGGTACTGCATATAAATTGATACAGTCGATGATGGTTCATGCGTCATGCTCGTGAACGGGTGCTGCCAGCGGAGATGAGTCTGCTCTATACTACTTTATGATTGTAATGATAATTAATTTTTAAATTTAAATTAAACACCAATCAAAATGTAGGTGAGCATTTATTTTTTCCCAGATAAATATTTAATGATTGTGTAGATTCTGGCATGTTCTCTAGACCTGAACTTTGGTTTTGCAGCGGTGTATCCTTGTCATTCTCTATACAAAGTGAAGGGGAGGGGCACTGGTGTTGGGCTTGGTTTTGGGTTTGAAGAGTAGTGGCAGAGTCAACACCAGTGTTAAGGTAATCACATCAAATCCTATAGAAACTCTACGAGTTTCTGGTGCAATAAATTGAATTGAATTGAATTCTATAGTATTTGATCACATGCATGTGTCCTACAGTTGTATTTATAGTTTTTTATAATAATGTATACTGGTACTTTTTTTTATTTCTCATTTTGAAACCTAGTATCCATATGTGGTTATGAGTAGTCATGCTCTCTTAAAAATCTCTTCGGCGGTGTCGTGTGAGGCGGGTCGTTACGTTCTCTAAAAAATGGTTGAGCGAAGCAATGGCTGGTTCATGCGTCATGCTCGTGAACGGGTGCTGCCAGCGGAAATGAGTCTGCTCTTGCTTCATTGGGTACTATTCATCGTTGTATTTAACTTTAATCGTACATTTGTTTTTATGCCTAAACAGTAGGGCACGGCATTCCTAAACTTTTTTTTAAATCAGTTTTTTATTTTATAGTCGTTATAGTTATATCATTTACATTTGTAATGAAAAGTAACTTCATGAGTTAGCTCATATTGGTCATTTATCAATTTGACGACTCTGTATATAATACAGGGAGAAAAAAACAGCCCTTGCTGAGTTTCTTGTCGGTTCTTCTCAGTACAAGGTCTTCCGCCGTAGATTTGCAAACGGATGTCGTAGCTCTTCGACATTCACGAGTGCTTGTAACAGCCTAGACTGAATAAACGATGTTGAATTTTTACTACAAAGAGAAAAAGAAGAGGTGTAAGAAGCTTGTGCAAATAAATTATTTTTAATCTTACACAGCAGAGAAACCAAAGAAGAAAACAGGCTTACATTTTTTTAATAACGTACGTTTTTTTCATGGAGATATCAAATCACTATTATTAGAATATCAATCACTGATCTCATTGTACGCACTTCCCTTGAGAAGCTTAAAAGATTACAGATCAAATCTGGAACATCTTTGTTTTGTACTATATCAATTAATGGGATTAAATCTTATCAAGAAAATATGCTCATTCTATTACCATATTACATTATAATTGTTATAGTATGCTTTGCAATATTTATTCAATTGAATTTAAAAACAATGATTCGCCATACCTTTGCAATTTCTGTTGAAGTAAGTCTGCAACCTTTATTAATTGTCATGTTTAAATCATTAATCACAATGTCACAATGATTTAAATCATTAATGACAATGAGAGTAAAAAGTTTGTATTTTAATTACTTAAAGACACTAAAAGTAATTACCATGTTTCAAAATGTCATTACCATGTCCTGAGATGCTAATGTTTAGTGATATACTGCAGTCTGAAATTGCATATTTCTGAAGAAGTACCCAAAGAAACTTTGGTGGTGTTGCATTTTTTGTGTGAGTAGGTGTGCTCTACACAGGGTATAGGATCGAGTTCAACACAACAAAGGTGAAAATGATTAGCAATGCCTTATTGTGCCAATAACCCTTAAATAAACCTAGAATGTATGTAGCAATCATATCAGAGATAAGATATTTGTGTAGTTTAGTGGGAAACAACAGTTCATAAAATTTGGTAAACAGCCCAAATTTTGTTAGCACTGGATAGGGAGACTAAGGTAGCACAAATAACATTATCCTTTTAATGAATGTTTGTAATTATAAAAATAACAATGAAAATGTAACAAGCTGTTAAACACTCATTTTCCAACAAGTTCATTATGTTTTATTTCATAGGTATTTTTAGCTTCATTCTGATATTCTTCACAAACGGCTGCAATTTGTTTAGTAACACTGAAAACTAAATCTTCAGACACTCCAGTCTGTTTCTTTGCTTTTTTGAGATAATCATTTTGCACATCTTTAAGTGCATCCCTGCATTTTATGTATAATGCTTTAGCGTTTTTGGCTAAGGCTTCTCTGTGTTCTTTAGTAACTTTAGGGACAGGCACATATAAAGTGGTGCCATCTTGTTGTGGGTTTAAGTTAAGTCCAGAGTTGTAAATAGCTTTTAAAGCATCAGGTATAGCTTGAGGAAAGGATGCAAAGTTCATCACAATCGTTTTAGGATTTTTGCGGACAATTTGAGCCAGCTCTTGTAATTCATAGTCTTTTCCTTCGAATTTCACTGGTAAAGATTCTATGGAACCCGTTGTGGAACGCAGTGAAAGGTTTTTCGCAAAATCTTCCTTCATTTTATCAATAGTAGCAATACATCTTTCTTTCATTTTATCCACTGGAATTAGTTCCGACATCAACACGGGATTTATGTCTATTTTGGCATGTTTACCTTTTTTATCTTTTCCTTTATCTTTATTCTTAGCGTAATTTCTAATTAAAACATTATTAATTGGATTGAGATAAACTATTCCTTCCTTTACTTGTATAACATTTTGGCGACAAGATTTAAAAGAGTTTATTAAACCAGGTAAGACTATTCTTTGTAAAATTCGTGTTCCCATAATTATAACAAAATAAGAAACTAATATGTATTTAGCTTTTCAGTCTTAATTCTTATTTGTATTTACATTCATACGAAAAAATAACCTCAACCCAATATCACTCTCATAATAAATATGTCAAAGTCAAAAGGATAAACATCTTTATATTTTTTGAAATTCTTGAATACAAAGGTTATTAGGTTTATGTAGCCTTTTGTTTGAGATTGTGCTCTTAATAAGCAAATTAATTATTCACTAATCAAAAATATAATCCACAAAAAATGACAAACCTTTGTGATTTGATCAGCTTTTGGAATGCTAACTACTAGATGTGTATTGAAAAAGCTTACATTTTGACCTTAACTTAGATTTTAGAATAAGTAACGCCCACACATATATAACAACTACATTTTATTGTAAATTAAATTTAAAAAAAAAACTAAGTACAGGGTTGTATGGACTTAACATTATTTGCCTTTTTATCAAGGTATAATATTACAAAAATATCTTCATTGTCTACTGGACGGCGGTAATGTACAGCCACGGAATGTACAGCCTGAAAAAGCACGGCCACTGAATGCCCGACCATGGAAAATTCTTATACTTGACCTGCAATTCCATGGTCGTACATTCCTGGTTGTGCTTTCCGCGGCTGTACAATACCAGCATGTGTCAGTCAGTAAGGCCCGACCCTGGAATGTACGACAACGGAATTAGAAGCCATTTACGTCGAACGTATGCTTCGTTTAGACTGATCATTTACTTTTCGTGTTGTCTGTGGTAATAGGCGGCCCACATACAGTCAATCTTGATTACTACTGTGATCAGTTTAGAATAGGGATTCCTTTGACCGCCAATTAAACTGAAGTTTTTATAGCGCTGTGAATTAGAAGCCTTAATCGTGTACTTTGACCCCACTAGACAATTTTTTGCCTTAGTGTGTAAAATCTCGACTATGAGGACAAGGCAACCACGATTGCTGACATAGAACACAGTATCAATCGCGTCATAGGTGAAATACCGATTGGAATGCTGAATTCTGTGTTTCATGCCCGGATAGTGGAAGATACTGATTTGAGTCGTCGTAGAGATTTTTATAAACGACAATACATTAAAAAGAGGACAGATAATTACAGGTGATTTGAGGTTAGAAAGGGTGGAGCGGTATACGGTAACCTTTTAAGAAGGGATTTTTTTAAGTTTAAAAGTTTTAAACTTTTATCGCGATTTTTGGGAAAACTACATACAACTTTTATCGAAAAAAAATCAATGGCAAAATTAACTCCTATTCAAAGATTTCTAAGATTATGTCTAACTCCTATTCAACCATACCTATTGATTGGCATGTAAACAAACAAAAATCACAGACAAAATATCTATTATTTATAGTCAATAATTAAGTACTGACATGAATTTAGTAAGTTATAAGGCAAGTAAGCATGCAAGTTACATGATAATGCAAACCTACCCTGACCTCAAAAAGGCCGTGCATTACTTGGCTGTGCTTTCCACGGTCGGATATTATCGATCGGTCCGTGCCAATTGTGCATTATCGGGTCAGGTATTATTGGCACTAGCTGATATTGTACAGCCCTGAAAAGCACAACTACGGAATGTCCGTCCGCGGAATTCATGTACATTGACGTCCAATTCCACGACTGTACATCGTACACACTAAAATAGTATACTCTATGATCGTATAATCCATGGCTGTATTGTATACAAAGTGTAGTATTTATATTTTATATTAAGGCTGTATGAAAACCGGACCCATGTCTAATGTCATGTCCGAATGTGTATTTATTTTTGTGACATCTCTATAGAAAAATGTCTGTTTTATTTCAAACAGTTATAAATACAGGAAAACTCTTTTCATTTAGTAAAGTATTAAATGCGTCGCTTTCAAAATGCAAATGCTTGTCTTTGAGAAAATATTCAGGTAGGTACCTACCAAGTTAGAGGTTATATTTTAGTTAAACTTTGTTACGATTACGAAGATGGTTTCGAGGTTAAGAATTTTCTTGCAGACCTTCCAAAGAAACTCGTTGGTTTTGATGATATTGTGGCACAGAGGCGAGCGGAGGCGAAACGCAGTATTATAGTTCAAGTAAACTCTGATTCTTCATTCAACGAATTGTATTGTTATTGCTCGAAATATGCAGATATCAATGGAATACATCACTATAGAAACTCTGGAGGAGAGGTAGATTTCATCATATTTACACAATATTATTTATATTTAATACAACATTTTATATAGTATTAAATATAAAAGAGACCAAAGAAAACATTCTCAATGAACATTATTTCAATAAGAGCTTAAATACTCATTGCTTTTCAGCATTTTATGCTTGTCGAATTTAAATCAGAAGAGTGCGTTAGAGATGTATTACGGAATTGTGGTTCTCATCAGAGAGATGTTGATGTTATGCCATCAAATTCTCCCTTTTTGTGGTTTAGAGCGGTTAGTGGTAAAAAAGAGACCTCCATGGCACAAGCTCAGACTCTCTTGATAAAAGATGGCAACACTCTAATTGACGATGAGGATCTCTATGAAGAGCTCATGAAATGTTCCACAGTTTCAGAGCAGATAGAACAATTATATGAAAAGACTAGATTGAATGACCTGGGGGTGAGACTGAGGTATATGGTTGCTAGACATGTAAGTGCAATTTTTACTTCTCATTTTATTCATTTTACAGAAAATGTCATTTTGTACTTAAAACCTTTATTACTTTTCAGCTAGAAGTTTTATTTAGTAGCTTATATACAAACGTTGAGGTGAGACCTTTTGGTTCATCTGTAAATGGTTTCGGCAAGATGGGATGTGATCTTGATTTAATTTTGACTAGTTCAATTCCTGAGAAAATGGTGAGTACTTAAGTTGTGAGTATTATTATTGCTATTAGAACAGAGCATAGAAGTATATGTACAATTTACTATAACTATTAACGAAACAAAACTAGTTATTAGATTTCATTATTAACAATAATTGTGCATGGTAGGCTTAGTGTAATGCTAATAAAGTAACGTATTTATGGCCTGTCCATGATTTTGAATTGGGTGCTTCCAATTAAAAAAAATATATATAGTCGTAGGTACAACAAATTAAAATAGCACATGGCTATTGTTCTTCTTTTTATGAGGGCTTTCTTTGTGGCATAGCTCCACCAATGTTAAGTGCTTAGACAAGGAATGACAGTTTAAAAACAAAATTTTGGATATAGCTGTGCTTTTCTTAACCCTGACATTGGCAGAATCATCGTGCATAACGATGGAGCCATAATACCCAAAGTGGAAGCGTTAACCTGGAAAGGAATATTTCACATTCGGGACAATACAAACAAAACAAATAAAGCGGAGATATAAGTTATATACTTGGGGATCGGATAATCATATAAACATGCTTTCATCTTTATAGGATGAGGAATAGTGGAAGGTAAAATATTATAGAGACAGATTTTTAATTTGGGGCGGTTAAGAGTGGACACGAACAAAGAGGCATATGAGAAATAAGTATTTGAAAACACTATTGCTGTCATGCATTGGCAATCACTGTACATCTTAATTTTTACTTTTGCGCAATAACGGTCAGCGCTAGAGTTTCGTGCTGTGACTTATATTTGTCCATTTGTTAATTCGTGTCCAAATAAATACTTTGTCCGATGTCGGTGGTGGTGCAGTGTGGGGTGGACAGACGTCTAGTGTACCAGGAGAAGCGTTGCGGGGGCAGGCAGGAGTCGTGGCGGCGCCAGCTGGAGCTGGCCGCCGAGGTGATGGAGGCGCGCGCGGCCGGGGCGAGGCGGGTGCTGCGGGTGCTCCACGCCAGGGTGCCCATAGTCAAGTTCTCACATCAGCTCACCGGCCTGGAGTGTGACCTCTGCTTCAATAACTTGTGAGTACTGTATACTGCGGGTGCTCCACGCCAGGGTGCCCATAGTCAAGTTCTCACATCAGCTCACCGGCCTGGAGTGTGACCTCTGCTTCAATAACTTGTGAGTACTGTATACTGCGGGTGCTCCACGCCAGGGTGCCCATAGTCAAGTTCTCACATCAGCTCACCGGCCTGGAGTGCGACCTCTGCTTCAATAACTTGTGAGTACTGTATACTGCGGGAGCTCCACGCCAGGGTGCCCATAGTCAAGTTCTCACATCAGCTCACGGGCCTGGAGTGAGATCTCTGCTTCAATAACTTGTGAGTACTGTATACTGCGGGAGCTCCACGCCAGGGTGCCCATAGTCAAGTTCTCACATCAGCTCACGGGCCTGGAGTGAGATCTCTGCTTCAATAACTTGTGAGTAGCATACTTAAAACCTATGCGAACAAACCTGAACTGCTGTACTGAATTAAAACAAAAAATGAGAGCGAAGAAATCTGATATAAATTAGTTTTCTTCCATAAATGAATTTTCAACCATAAATTTTATGGTCGTTGATTGGATGAAAAAATCCCCTTAAAAATGATTTCTGTGGTAAAACTGTTCTATGTCCTTTGCCAGCACGCAAACTATATTTATAGCGTATTTCATTTAAATTGGTTAAGTGGTTTGGGCATAAAAAGGTAACAGAGACCCACTTTCGCATTTATAATACATATATCAGTATGGATTTAATAGACCATTTTTATTAATAAATAAGTATTTCAAAAACTCGTACCAATTAGCCTAGCTCCATAGTTAGCAGTAGGCTTGTTTTATGATAATACTAAGGTAACAGATAGAATACATAATACCCATACATAGATAAGTATATTTATATAGAAATACATATTAAACATCAATGACTGGAGTACAAATGCTAATATTCATGACACAAATATCAGTCCCCACCAGGATTCGAAACCAGGACCTCTCGAGTAAGCCACACCTTGAAATACGGAGTACAAACCATAAATACTTTATTCCTAAGTAAAATAAAATAAATAATAAATAAATATTTCCAACACTCACACCAATTAGCCTAGCCCCAAAGTAAGCACTGTAAGGCTTGTGTTATGGGATACTAGGGTAACGGATAGATGTAATATTAAAATATAAAAAGTTTGTTTTGAAAATTACTTTAAATGGATAGGTCGAAATTAATGAAAAAAGAATACTCGGGCGCCAGACCCATACCATATTATTAAACCATATTAGCCGGGAAAGCAATGGACTATTAATCACAAGAGAAGGCTTGATTGCAAAACCATATTCATTTTGGGTTGTCGATTTATTTAAATTTACTACAAAACTACTTAAGTCCAAAAGGGTTACTGCTAAATTTAGAAACTACTTATTATACTATGGCTACTAAGATGTAAATGAAAATTTTACCTTATGGGTTCCGGTACAACAATGAATTTGGAAAGTTACCGAACTTGTTGCATCTGTGTAGTGGCTGTGTCTGGTGTTATAATACTTAAGGGATGTCGCTGTTACATCACGGGACTGTTCACTTTCTCATCATGGGAAATGTTGAAAGTTGATTATAAAATCCAAATAAAAAAAAAACGCTTTTCGCTGAAAATAAATATTCCTCAGATTAGCACATGGCTCACAACAAAGGAAAAAAAGTAAAACTAAGGAAAACTCTAAGATTCTTACCGTTTTTTAAACAAATTAAGCTTGGAATGCGATACCCGCCATTCCGAACAAGAGGTGCAAAATGTTACATCTGTAAAAGAAATGAAATGAATTCTAATGTAAATCATTGAAATATATGAATCAAAACACTTTTCGAATTTGGAAAAACACTTACCATTAAAAAATAATGGACAATCTAAGGAATTATCATGATAAAAATTACGATTTAGATTTTCACATGTTCCTCGTAAAAATTTTGGTCGTGAAGTGAAGTGACAGTTCTTTTCTTAGTTTGTCTGGGCGGTAGGCAAAGAGAACAATGTCCATTCAGCCTACTGCTCGATAAAGGCAGAAACACACTTACCCAAAAGTGCACAGATTAAAGAAAATGGGCGCGAGATAAAAAACGACCTGAGAGACAACCAAAAAAAAATCTTCTATCTCGCTCTTCGAGCGAAGGAGATCCATGTGACGTTTTTAACACGTTACATAGAATACATATACTTTACATATATAAGTATATTTATATAGAAATACATATTTAACATCCATGACTGGAGTACAAATGCTCGTATTCATCACACAAACATCCCCACCGGGATTCGAACCCAGGACCTCTCGAGTAGGCGACACCATGAATCCCGGCCTCCGGCCACGGAGGTCGTAAAAAAATGTGGCTGTACTGTCGAGTCTTGACTTTTTCTGAAATGATCATGAATGTTGACAACAACAATAATGTTTTTTTAAGCTTTAACTAAGCTAGACTAGATGTTTAAAGCTAAAGAAAATTTTACTTTGTCCAGGCAGGGAAGATCCTGTTCCACAACCATCTAGCAGTTAAATGCTTTAAAAATAAACGTATTATTATATACAATTATATATTATTACTATAGATATGCTACATTCATAGTAATTGCGATTACAATCTGTTCCAACTTCAAATTTTACTCGCTACTAATTGCGCGTACAGTCAAAGAAATAAGGTCAATATTCTTCCGCATATAGCAATAATTTTAACAATTTGTCTGTGTATCCGTGTACAGTGCTGAATAAACGATTTAGATTTGATATAGGAGCGGCGTCCGCATGTCCGCATGGCTGTACGCGTGCGGAGGCCTATCCCCGGTAGTGCGGCCCCTCACGCTGTCGGTGAGGCGCTGGGCCTCCGCCGCGGGCCTCACGAGCCCCCACCCGGGCCGCTGGATCACCAGCTTCCCCCTCTCCCTGCTGGTGCTGTTCTACCTGCAGCAGAAACGGGTGCTGCCACCGCTTAAGACACTCCTGCGTGACGCCGGTGAGTTGCAGTCCATGGATTTTATGATTCAACTAGTGGCCCGCCCTCGCTTCGCTTCGGTGTAGAGCTGAAGTGTAGACTACAGTTTTTGTTCTCAGGCTTGTATTATACACAATGACATTCATCTATGATTTCTTCTTATACCTGCATGCAAAGTCTCAGCCCGATCGATTTAAACTTGACTAAGTTTCATACAAACTTTCATTCCCTATTTTATCCCCTTGGGGACAGAATTGATCAAAATCCTTTCTTAGCGGATGCCTACGTCATAACATCTACCTGCATGCCAAATTTTAGCCCGTTCCGTCCAGTAGTTTGGGCTGTGCGTTGATAGATCACTATGTCAGTCAGTCAGTCACCTTTTGAGTTTTATATATATAGATTGTAGAAAGAACTTCCTATTTAGATTCTTCCATAATAATATGACTTCATAATGAAGTTTCTACAATATTAGCAACCTGTTGTTTAACTTTTGTTGATTTTTTGCCAACAGTTGTCATATAAAAAAGAATAGTGTGCACGGACCACACATCTGAAATAAAACTTGTTTTCTTCAATAACCTAACATTAAGCGGTACATAAGGCATAGGGGAATGGTGCAGCGCACGCATCACTCATACATATGTATATATTGTCGCGTGTGACACTTGTAGCGTTTCAGCCTTCACCGAGTTGCCGTCCAACTTACATGCTCGTCGGGAAGAGCTGCGTACTCAGAAATATCGTGTGTCGTCGTGTGACACTCGTGACGCATTTCCATTTACACCTCGTTGGAAAAGAACTTCTTTTCCGACGGAGTGACACTTCAAAAACTTTTAATTGGGAGATAAAATTAAATTTTGAAAAAATATGGATTGGTCAAAATAAATTTGTAGGAAAGTACTCAGGCGCCAAACTTACAGGTGCTGATAGACGACGCGTAAAAATTCTTGCGGCCGCCGCGCGGCGACCGCGCTGTGGTCGCGTAATAACTGTTCAGTCATAACTAGGACTTAATCGAAATTCTTTGTGAGTAACTAACTGCGCAGCGATCGCGCGGCGGCCGTTCTGTCACCGCGCGGCCGTCACGCGGTGACATTCTGTGTCATATAAACGCGCCCTACCTCAATAGACTCGCCGGAAGGGCATTGAACTATTAATCGCAAGGCGGGTTGAAGCAAAATCCGAACTCACATTAGGTGTTACATGGTTTTCCCTTAAATTTAGATTAAATTATAGCAAATTTTCTCCAATTCTAAATTTTAGGAAAAAACCATTTGTAAGAGTGAGACAACCTAAACAGAGGCCTATCTATCTTACTCTCACTTCAACCCAACAAAACTCATGTGACGTTTTTGATATGTTACACAGTATTTTAATACCAAAAGTTTCCATCTCACCTGATTGCTGGATTTTAATGGACCTCTGATTGTAGAAAGTCCGAGGAGTGATAGATAGTGATACTGCTATGGCAAGCGCCCATACGTTATTCTGACCAGTCATGATCTAGATCCTGGGTTTCGAACCTAGGGTTAATTACCTCCCCGGGTCTAAATCACCTATACTTCGGGGGTAACAAAGAACTAAATTATTTGTTCAAATGTAATTACCCCCCGGGGGTAAATCACCTATACTTCGGGGGTAACAAAGAACTGAATTATTTGGTCAAATCTAAATAATAAAAAATATATAGTACACCTAACAGCATGCACGTGGCATGCGGCTAGGCTAGGCGGGGCGAGATTTTCTCCTGATGATGATTAGCTTGTATTGTTTGCTTTGATAATATTTTTAAGTCGGGGTAAAATCTATTTTCCTAATAGGTTACAGGGGTAGCAATATTGAAGAGGTTAGGTAACACTGATCTAGATATTAAGTTTCAATGTCAGTTTTATAACATATGTGTTTTGTGAATATTAAGATAGCATTCTTTCCATCCCAGGTGAAGAAGACGGTCGATTAGTCGACGATAATGGAATGTGCACCTTCCTACGTGATTTGAACGAGCTGCCACCAGACTCGTACGGACAATGCGACGTTAACTTGGAGACACTACTGCTGCAATTCTTCGAATTCTATGCCCAGTTTGACTTCCAAGAGAAAGCCATCTCGCTGAACCTTGGAGCAGCAGTCCGGAAACCTAATTCGCAGCCGTTGTACATCATAAATCCCCTGGACCAATCGTTGAACGTCAGTAGAAACGTCAGCTATGAAGAATGCCAAAAGTTACAAGTCGAAGTTAGGAATGCTGCGTGGCAGCTGGAAGCGGAAATGGAAGGACGAAAGGGAGAAGACTGGGGCCTCCTTGGCCTTTTTGAAAAGAAAGCATCCAGGAATCTCAAAAAGCTAGTGAGAATGGGCAACTCACATAGGCTTGTTTCCATAAAGGATCTCTTTCAAGACACTGACGAAACACCGGATAACGGTTTGAGGAGTAAACTACAAGGACTGACGGAAAAGAGTGATAAAGAAATAGAGAATAGTGTGAAAGAGATGAAAGATGAGTTGACTAAGGAGCCAGAGAAAGTAAAAGAAACTGTGAGGTTTAAAAATAGGCAGGTCGCTAGTGAAGTGTACAGAATACGGAGAGACAAAATATTATAGAATATTGTGTCAGTGATTTGTGTGATGTCGTAGAGCTCGGTTGTTATCTCTTGAAGAATATTATTGTGTAATGTATTGTGCTTGTGAAGAACTCGTCGAACCAAAAAAAGAAAGGAGTGTTGGTAATATACCTGTTAATATTATTTTGTTCATTTCCCATAACAATGTGATCATATTCTGTATATAAACCTATTTGTAAATAGCTTATGTTAGCTATTATTGATAGATATTAGAAATTTCTTTGTTTGTTATTATAAAAAGAAGGATGAAAAAAGTTATAATCAATAAAAAAACCTAGACAGAAATTCAATATTTTTATTACAATAAATTACTTAAAACTAAAGTATTCATAAAATTGCTTGATTCTCTCATGTACATATAAAAGTTGAAAATTATTCTACTTAATTTAAATGGACTCCTTACATAATAATTTATTAACGAACATTCCTATTTTAGGATTGGTAGCATCGTTTTTGTATGATAAACTGGTGTTTTCGAGCATTTCCTTAAATATTATCACGTTATTATTGCACAACTTCTTGATAGTTCCTTGGTATACGGGGTCATCGATAATGCTTCGAACAAAAGCGACAATATCTCCTTTATCTTGGCAAATCCTTATCAAATTATCAGCACACTCCCTTGTCCAGACGGTCTCTTCCAGGAATATATTGTAGCGTTCGTTTTGATCGAACACTCGACACTAGAAAAGAATATTATTTAACAAGTTTCATATAAAACAACATCGACATACAAAGTACATACAAAGGCACATCGGCGGATATTATATTTATAACTATAGGTATTTAATATGATACACCAACACGAACAAAATCGTGGCCCAAACCTGTCCAAAAGGTATATTGGACGATCCGTAAGATGATCCCGTAGTCAAAAACAATAGAAGGTATTTTTTGAACATTGAAAGTCACCATCAATGCAAACTGCATAAGGTCTTAATTAAAACGCAAGCGTCAAAGAGTTATGACAGTTCGAAATGCAAGCTCGTAAAAAAGCTTATTGCTATATGCGGAAGAATATAGACCTTATTTCTTTGACGCTACGCGCAATTCTGAATGCCATGTTACCAATACAGCAGGTACGGACCGCGAGGAAAAGAGACGGCTACATTACCGACCATGCATTTGAATATCACAAATATATTCTTTTATTTCACGTGACTGTGAACCAAGAAGTGCTTGAGAAGTGTTCTCACTTCGCCTCGGAGCACGGGCTCCTAAATCAATAACCAAGTATATCATTGACCTCTAGGTCAATGATGAAAATAAGGTCTATATTCTTCCGCATATAGCAAAAAGTCGTAAAATTTTACGAGTTTGCATTTCGAACTGTCAGAAGTCTGTGACGCGTGCGTTTTAATTAAGACCTTATACAGTATGCGTTAAAGGTGACTTTCAATGTTTAAATAATGAGTTATATGGTTTTTGACCGTGCGTTAATCTTACGAAGCTCCGTGGATCGTCCAATGTACCTTTTGGACAGGTTTCGGGCACGATTTTGTTTGTGTTGGTGTATCTAATGTATTAAATATCATTAGGTTCAGCAAACGATCCAGAAGCTCCACTACAATATTGACAATTTCACACTAATATACAGGGTGTTACAGAATTCCGAAATAAAATTTGTAGGTATGTATTCCGAAATAAAAATCTGGGGGAGAGAGGGGGGTCTGTTTAGGTAGTAGTAGTAAATAAAAATGGTCTGAAAGGCGTCAAATTTTCGTAGGTAATTCTATACAAGGAACACAACCAAACCCTAAAGTTTTATTTCGGACTTTTGTCACAACTTCTATAGAGAGAAATACCACAAACTTCAAAACGAATGATGAAATCAGGGTGCTAATATGAAACTTACCTCATCGTTGAGTTCATCCGTGAGGTAAACTTCGCACCGGAAGTCCAGCAAGGCCAGCAGCACCAGCATAACCGGCTCCCGTATCGCATTCCGAATCCACTCCGCTGCCATGGCGGAGATCACCGGCCCCCCATCCCGGTCGTGGCCACTCAGAAGTGACGCAGCGCTGGCTGCCGTGTCTCGGATGTTTGCGTCGTCGTCTTCCAGTAACGCGACTAGGGTGGCGTACAGAGTTGCCGACAGTTCGACTGGGGAACGATTTATTTAAAATTAAAGTTAGTTAATTTTGTTTAGGTATATTATTATACCTATAAGAAAATCTCCGACGAAAATTAAAAATAAAATCCAATAAAACTAATTGTTATTGTTGTTACATGAAATGAAAGAGCAATAAGTTTTATAATGTCTTTACAATACTAGTGAAATTGAATTGCATAAACAGCAATGTGGCAAATTAAAAATGCAATGTTGAAATATCAAAAATAAACAGTTATCTCTTATAAATTAAGGTAATTCAATAATTTAACTAAAGAACAAATAGTAAGATATTTATAACTAAAAACCTTAAAATATATAATAACTAAAATACATTATTAAAAGGAGTCCCTTTAGGCAAGGTTCCAAAGATTAAGTCAAATTATATCAAAAATTAAGTCTCTAGCTAATAAATATCCTTATTCAACACTAATCTTTTTTTTAAACTAAATAAGTTTTGACGTGATAACGACTTATAAATTGATGAACACCGGCTGCACGCACGAAAATGTGTCACGTTCCGCCTGAGACTGAGCGTGCAAGCGAGAGCGCGGAACAAGCGATAGAGAGGCACGATCGCCCCAAGCCGAGGCGCCTACACATTTATCTCTCTTCTCGCGTGACGTCAGAGCGAGCAATTATGCAATTTTTCATCAATGTTTCTTTATGACGTTATCACGTAAAATTATCGTCCGTAAACCGACTTTACAGACAACCAATTTTTTAACTTAGTTTTTTTTTATTTAAGGAAAACATACAGCCTTATTATAATACATTTGAGTATAAAATATTTGATTTATACATAAGCCAAATCAGTTTCCACGACGTAATAAAACGTAATAAATTTTTAATTAAATCTCGTAACTGTAACATTTAAATTTTATGCTTACATTTCTGTTCTTCAGACAGCGATTCAAACTTCATTTCAATTAAAACTTCAAAGTTATCTTGCAAGAATGTCGCCGCAACCTCTCTGGTGCTGTCATTGTTTTCCGACGTGCAACAGTCGAAAATCATCCTTACCACCTCAAGAATAACGTCGTCACTCAAACTACATTTCGGATTGGACTGCAGTGAGCATTTAACAAAACGCCTCAGACTTTCCAAATATACATGAGTCAAGTTTTCATGTTCATCTCTGATGCAATCCAGTAACTTTGCTGCTATTTCATCATCGCACTTGGGTTTGCGACCAATCTTCAACTCGACTACATACTTTTGCGTACCATCTCCTAACGACAGTACACTCAAAGTCTTTTGTATGCATTCCATGTATTTACTACCCTCTAAAACTTTACACAGTTCTTTTGAGAAAGTTTGGTTTTTTCGCAAAACTTTTAAAACGTTTTCATTGATAGCGATTGAGGAGAGATGTTTCTGAAAGTGACATTCGATTTCTAGTTTTTTGTATAAAATCAGGAGGTAATTCAGACAAGTTAGGACTACTTCATAAGATTTGTGAGTCAATCCTTTGTGTATAAACTTCATAATGACCTTGGTATGGGTACATTTGTTAAGTTGACAAGGATGGTTCATCGATTCTGTTACTGTATTTTCTGTGCTGATAGAATGTATGTGCTGTTCTGTGCTGTATTTTTGGAAATAGCAGCGTTTGCTGAGTATAATGATGTACAGGTAAGCTATGTTAGCTAAACATATTTCTCGACCTATAGTGATCGGCGGTATATCTTTGGCGAAGAGAATACTGTCTAAATATTCTCTTATTGTTTCGAGCATTTCTTGGTCTATAAGTGATGGGAGTCTGGAAATAAAAAAGCATAGATACTGTTATAGTAAGGGGGCGTTTAAGTATTACGTAACGCAATTTGGGGGGGATGGGGTCTTGTAAAACGTTACGATGCGTTATAGGGGCGGGAGGGGGGTTCCGTAAACGCGGTTCGTAACATTGTTTTTTATTTAAATAAAGAAAAATAAATCCAGAAAATTTTAGAATAGGCATTAAGTAAAGGGCGGCTTGCTTGCATTTTACGATAATTTTACGCTCCATCCACTATTCTCCCATCCATGGAATCCTCAAAATTGTATGAATCTTATATTTTATTTTAGTATATATGCATTTACTGTTAATATGGGTTATTATTTAAATAATAATACACTTCATTTCGCTAATCAAAGAACTTATTGTTGAATTTAGTTTCACTACCGCTCAATAGATGGCGCGTAAAGTATGGTACACCGCGGTATGGTTTCCTCCGAGCAGAAATATATATACGTTTCGCAGCTTGAGTACTCTAACTGCATTATCCCCCTCTCAGTGGATAATCGCTTCAGATGAAGCTTGTAAGGCCCTTCAGGCCATAAGCATGATCTACGGGTGTGTTTTAGTCAGTAAGTCTGACATAACCTTGCAGCCGGCTGTAAGGTATCCATGAGGATTTCACACCCGCTCCCCCGCCTGGGAGGAATCAAAAAAAAAAAAAAAAATGAGTACTCTAAACTAGAAACATGTGGATAAATATTAATATGAAAACAGTGATCAGAGGCGACGACCGTCCCAACATGTGCGACTAAGAGATCCTATTACTACGATTTTACGATTTTGTTTTTTCGAGACTTACGAGTAATGTGCGGTTTAGCGGCCGACTTCATGTTACTTTTGTTACAGTGTTGCGCGCGCATCTTAAAATTTCACTCTCATCATTTTTTCATAACGCGCCCGCGGCTAACTTCATTGTTACTTTTGTGTTACAGTGATGCGCGCGCATCTTAAAATTTCACTCTCATAATTTTTTCATAACGCGGCTAAAGAAGTATAACTTCAAAAAGGGTGTTGATATCTCCCAAGTTGGCAACCCTTTTCATGGTAGTTTGCGCAACATAGTTGGGTAAAAAATGGTCAGTTGGGTGTCAAAAATATTCAAAATTTGCGTTACGTTATACTTGAACGCCCCCTAAAATGTAAAGTCACTATGTGTTCGGATCGTCTGAACTGCTGAACTTTGGTGTAAAGGTAAATGAAATCCTGGAAAAATAATATATATTTTTGAAGTTATACTTCTTTAGGCGCGTTATGAAAAAATGATGAGAGTGAAATTTTTAGATGCGCGCGCATCACTGTAACCCAAAAGTAACAGCATGAAGTTAGCCGCGGGCGCGTTATGAATGTTAGTGACTAATAATGGTGGATTATTAACCACTTAGTGGTTAATAATCCACCATTATTAGACATCTGTTCGAAAGGTACTTTGAACGATCCACGGAGCTCCATAAGATGATCGCGTTGTCAAAAACAATGTTGGCACGCTCGTCGCCTCTGATCACTGTTTTCATATTTATAATATTTATCCACATGTTTCTAGTTTCTATATAGACACAACGTGTTTTAGTTACTTACAAGTGCTAATTACATATGGACTAATAACTTAAATTCTTAGTGATTTTAATTGAATATTTTGAATATTTATTTAATTTTTCAAATAAAAACTGAACTTAATTGACTGTGTTAACTATCCTTTTCCAGTCCTTTTATTATTTTATTGTAATTATTAATTATTTGCATGTAATTAAAAAATATTTTTAATGATGCTAAAGAAGTATAACTTCTCACGCGCGTACATAAGTTACACGCATCCATTTTTTTTATAATTTTTATTATTTTAAAGCATGTAACTGCTTGATGTTTAAATGTAAAGAAAATATAAACTAGAAAAAATTCCACGCGGACCAGGCAGCAGACGGGACTCGAACCCGCACCCTTCGCAATCCGGGCGAATGCACTGACCAATTATGCTACCGCGGCCCTCACGGACCGCGTCGAAATTCTTCTAGCCATTCTTAAGCTGCAAGGCAGCGCCATCTCTTCGCATTATAGGTAACCCACAATGTCAAATGATTACTTTTATAAGTATTAAACATTTGAAAGAAGAAATAGCAATTATAGTTATAATTTTTATTATTTTAAAGCATCAGTATAGACTAACCTCCAAACAATCAGGTTGATCATCTTCACGTATTGATCCGTAATCGGATAGCATGGCATTTTCCTGGTAGCCTGTTCCAATATCCAGTACGAGTCACTGATTCTTCTTCTTATACGAAGCTTCTCCTCATGTTCCACCACCAGGTTAGCAGGGGTCTCTGCCAGGAGTTTGGTGAGTTGCAGCAATGTGCCGTGGCAGTAGTTACGTTTGATTGTGGATGAACTTATTGTGGTTAGTAAGGTTTCCAAGTGTGATACAAACCTGAATATTGACAATAATATTAGTCATCATCATCAGCCTATTAATGTCCCCACTGCTGGGGTACAAGCCTTCCCTATGGATGGAATAGGGAGATTGGGCCATGACCCACCACGCGGGCCCAGTGCGGATTGGTGGGTGCTAACGACGATGCAGCCGGGACCAACGGCTTAACGTGCCTTCCGAAGCACGGAGGAGCTCGAGATATTAATTTTTGGTCACCCATCCAATGACCGACCACTGCGAAAGTCGCTTACGTTCAACGATCGCAGCCGAACGCGCTAACCACTTGCGCCATCGAGCTCCTCATTATAATATTAGTAGAATAGAATAATTAAGCAGTCAGCCGCCGCGAGGTGTCGCGTGCGCACGTATTTATTCGTGTGACTGTGCATATTGTAAACAATGACTTCGAAAGTAGTTAAGTGTGCTAATTGCAATTTAGTCGTCAATGAAGTGCTGGCATTTATACAAAACAAAATAAATGTCATCGATGAGGAGGGCTTAGTTCGAATTTGTGCCTCGGCCTATACATCTGAAGAAATAACTGAAGCAAAATGTTTGTTATTTGACTCCGTGCCTAGGATTAAACGGAGGATTACAAGAAAACGAGATGGGAAAAGCCAACGAAATGTTGAAGATATCATCTATCTTTTTAAAGACACTGAACCTGATGTAACTCCTATTTTTGTAGCACGCGATTTGAACAAACTGCCGCCTGTGACATTTGATCACCTAGATGTGACGAGTTTATTGAAAGACTTAGTTAAAATACAAAGTGACGTGAAATATATAAGAGAAAACTATGCGAGTATCGAGGAATTGAACCAATTAAGATGTATCGTTGATGGCATAACCTCAGACTCACTACATCAACAGTCAGAGTGCAACTATAACATTAACAATAGGCGAGGTGCTTTTTTGTTAAATGATAGTAGCGAAAATATAAGTGAACAGGCCGGATACTTAACATTACAAACTCCGAGGGTATTGGTAAAACAGTCTGCGAGCGCGGGGTCGATGCCGTCGCAGTCTTTGCAGGCACAACGCCCCGCGTCAAATTTGAGCGCGAACGGCGGCTCGCCTACCGTTGTCGAGAGAAGTCTTGTGTCGGAACGTTGCGATGACTCACCCGCTAACGGAGGGAATAGCTCAGCTGTTATTATCTCGAATGCGAGCGTGCAAATGGATAAACATTGTACAATTTGCCCTGCGCAGAGCCCGACTGAGCCCGTGAATAGACTAAGTTATGCAACGACAACTTCACAAGGCACTGAGAATATGTCTGAAAAACATCTACAGGCTGATCAGAAAAGTGCAGGCTGGACTTTAGTTCAGAGTAAACGTAAACAAAAGAACCGCTTTAGTAGCAACAAGGGGACTGCAAAAGATGACATTAAATTCAAGGCGGCGGAATCCGTTATACCGATATTTATCTCTAATGTGCATAGGGACACAAAAGAGACTGATATTATACAGTACATACAAGCTAAAACACAGGAAAATGTGTCCCTCTTAAAACTTACAATGAAAAGAGATAAAGGACACAGTGCATATAAACTATTTGTGCCCCGAAAAAAATTGAACCTATTTTTGGACAGTACAATGTGGCCTAATGGTATACTATTTAGACGGTTTGTGCACTTTCGATATAAAATAGACGGACAAAAGTCTGCTCAGGTTCTAAATAATAAAACCAACTAATGGATAGCGATAGCAACAATAATTTATATAACGCATCATTAGTTACGTTCAACTGTAAGTCGTTTAAGCGATCAATTGACGGAGTAAGACTGCTGTGCAAGACGGCGGACATCATTGCGCTGCAGGAGACCTGGCTTTTTCCACATGATCTCCAGTATCTTGGAACCGCCGATAGGGACTTTGGATATACAGGCACTTCGGCAATAGACACCGAAGCCGGTGTGACTGTGGGTCGTCCATATGGAGGAGTGGCGTTACTGTGGAAAAAGAGCATGTTTCCTAATGTGTCCATAATACCGTGCTCAAATCCGCGTATTTGTGCTGTTCAAATTGCGCTCGTGGATAGGCCTCTAATAGTGTGTAGCGTTTACATGCCAACTGATTGTCGCGAAAATGTGAATGAGTTTACCGACTGTCTAGGAGTGTTAAGTGCAATAATCGAAGAAAGTGGTGTAGAATCAGTTTTCATTATGGGTGATTTTAATGCGCACCCTGATGCGCTGCTTTATAATGAGCTAAGTAAATTTTGTAATGACCAGTCATGGATTTGCGCCGATGTAAGTGTTTTGAATATTACCTCTGAGACATACACGTATATTAGTGAAGCTCATGGGAGTAGGAGATGGTTGGATCATTGTGTGGTCACTGAGTCGGCTTTCCAGTGTGTCACAACTGTCAGTGTAATGTATGACGTCTATTGGTCTGACCATTTTCCATTACTCATCAGTTGCAAATTAGATTTGATACCACGCAAAGTAATTTTTTCCAACTTAATCCCTAATCGCATTAGGTGGGGAGAAAGATCGAATTGGCAGGTAGACAAATATTACAAATTATGCAATGAAAAATTAAGAAATATTGATTTTCCTTTGGAATTACAAAACTGTTGTCATGACCATTGTAATATCAATTTACACAAAATATATATTGATAACTTATATAATAGTATTATATCTGTGCTGAGTTCTTCTGCGTCTGAGACCTACAATGTTAAGTGTAATCGAAGTAAACAATTTAAAAAAATGTTTGGCTGGAATAAACACGTTTGTGCTGCTCGCAGGAAGGCTAGGTCCAGTTTTCTTGTTTGGGTAGGATGTGGTAAGCCCAAAAGTGGCAGAGTTTATGAGGAAATGGCTCAGACTCGAAAAATATTTAAGGGAAAATTGAAGTGGTGTCAAAATCACCAAGAACAAATTAAAATGGATGCCCTTGCCACCTACCATAACAATCGTGATTTTGGAAAATTCTGGAGGTATACAAATGGAATGAATTTGGGACCTGGTCTTCCTGCAAGTATGGATGGTTTAAGTGATCCAGTAGCGATAGCCAACCTGTTTAAAAATCACTTTATTGTTAAATCACCTTTGAACTCGACCCAGTCCATGCTCGACGCTGAGACAGGTTGTGACCCGGTGAGTTTAATAACAGGCAAAAATATTGATAAGGTTATTAAATCGTTGACTCGCGGAAAGTCTCCCGGGCATGACGGTCTCAGCGTCGAGCATTTACGAAACGCGGGACCGCACTTGTATAGATTGCTGGCGCTGTTGTTTAACGTCTGTTTGGTACATTCTTATTTGCCACACGAATTGATGAAGTCTGTAGTGGTCCCTATTTTAAAAAATAAAACTGGAGATGTGTCATCTAGGTTGAATTACAGGCCAATTACATTGGCAACAGTAGTGTCTAAGGTGTTTGATGGGGTGCTTGATTCTCAACTCAGTAAATATCTAAACATCCACGATCTTCAGTTTGGCTTTAGGCCTGGTCTATCTACGGAAAGTGCAATATGGACTCTCAAGCACGCCATCAGGTACTACACTGATAGAAAGACGCCTGTATATGCCTGTTTTTTGGACCTGTCCAGGGCGTTCGATCTGGTTGACTACAGTATTCTGTGGGATAAATTAAAGGGGTGTGGTTTACCCTCAGACTTAATATCTTTGTTTATGTTCTGGTACGGGAACCAGGCCAATTGTGTAAAATGGGCTGGTGTTCATTCGGAGGAGTACAGATTAGAATGTGGGGTTAGGCAAGGGGGAAGAACTTCACCGAAATTATTTAATCTGTACATCAACGCGCTGATTGAGGAGCTTAGCGGTACACGTGTCGGCTGTCACGTAGGGAGTGTTTGCGTAAATAATATCAGTTACGCGGATGATATGGTGTTGCTGGCTCCTTCGATCGGTGCTTTGAGGATGCTTGTGAACATTTGTGAAACCTATTCAACCAATCATGGTTTATCTTATAATACCAGTAAAAGTGTATATATGACTTTTAAGGCTCACGGAAAGACTCCTGAAAACGTGCCCTCTGTAAAACTATATGGATCTGATCTCCGTAGAGTTACGCAATTTAAGTATCTAGGTCATATTGTAACAGATACTTTAAAGGATGACGCTGACCTTGAAAGGGAGCGAAGGGCATTGTCTAAGAGGGCAAATATGTTGGCCCGTAGGTTTGCTCGATGTTCTGACACTGTAAAAATTACTCTTTTTAAGGCTTTTTGTACATCTTTCTACTCGAGCAGCCTATGGGTTAATTTTACCCGAAAATCATATGATGTCCTCCGTGTCCAATACAATAATGCCTTCAGGGCACTGCTGCGGCTGCCGCGATATTGTAGTGCTTCGGGAATGTTCGCAGATGCGCAGGTCGACAGTTTCCCGGCTATTTTGCGCAAAAAAGCAGGTTCATTGCTACGGCGGGTTCGTGGTAGCCGCAGTAGTGTTGTGAGGGATTTAGTGGCTCGTGGGGACTGTCCACTGATAAATATTTTTGTAAATAGGGTTATATCTGTTTTTAATATAATTTACTAACATAGTATTAAGTATTGTATACTAACACATGGATCTATGTTGTCCGAATAATAAATGATTTGAATTTGAATTTGAATTAAATAAAACTAGTTTGTTACGGGTTAATGCACGAAACTTTATTTATAATGTAGTTTGAGTGACGACGTTATTCTTGAGGTGGTAAGGATGATTTTCGACTGTTGCACGTCGGAAAACAATGACAGCACCAGAGAGGTTGCGGCGACATTCTTGCAAGATAACTTTGAAGTTTTAATTGAAATGAAGTTTGAATCGCTGTCTGAAGAACAGAAATGTAAGCATGAAATTTAAAAAACTTAAGTTAAATAATTGGTTGTCTGCAAAGTCGGTTTACGGACGAGAATTTTACGTGATAACGTCATAAAAAAACATTGATCTCATTCATTTATTTTTCATTAAATTTTTTTTTATTAATTTATTTTTCATTCATTTATTTGACAATTTAAAATTTTATTTTTAATCATAATTGTTTTGTATTGAAATTAATGTAATTATCAAAATTTTATAACATTTAATTGCTAGTTGATTCTGACGACGTAGCCTGTAAAGGCTACGAAACGTCAATAAATAAATAAAGTTTCGTGCATTAACCCGTAACAAACTAGTTTTATTTAATGAGTGATGTGCGTGAAAACCTAAGAAACAAATAGAATAGAGTAATTTTTTTTTTTTTTTATTTATTTGTGGTACATAGGTAATACATGGTTATTAATATACAGTCCAACTACGATCAGCCATCAGGCATACAAATATAGAATTAATAACGGTACTTTAAATTATACTATATAAAAAAAAACAATTAAAATTAAATTTTAATTTTAAAATTAATAAAAAAAAGGGTTGAGCCTCTTAAAAACGCTAAATTTGCTCAAAGGGAGGCATCAATCGACAAAATCTTGTTAATGGTGCCAATGCTGGCGTGATTCTCTAAACTTAAAACTAAATTTAACATCAGTCTCTCCTTTTCATTCTTTATAAAGAATGACAAGGATATGCTGCTGTCAAATTTAAGTTTATGTTTAGAGAATCATGCTAGAATCGCCACCAATGTATAACAATTAACATATGTTAAAGAAACTTATTTTTTTATTATTATTACCTACCTTGTGGGTGCGATGCAATCAGAAGAAGCAGCCACTCTTGCATATAAAGATGGCGATTTGACCGCTTCACTGCGGTATGGAGACAACGACGTCAGACGCAGAGAACATTGCACCCCTTCCAAGGACGAAGGGTACAACTTGCTGATCAACACTAACACGGGGAATAGACCCGGGTTAAGGTCCACCTCTATCGTGGGACCGACCGATTGTAGTCTATGCTGGAGGAAGGTAAAAAAGAAATAATAAAATAAAATACAATAGTTATAATTTTTATTATTTTAAAGCATGTAACTGCTTGATGTTACAATCTAAAGAAAATATGACTAGAAAAAATTCCACGCGGACCAAGCAGCAGACGGGACTCGAAATCCACTGACCAATTATGCTACCGCGGCAGTGCATTCGCCCGGATTGCGAAGGGTGCGGGTTCGAGTCCCGTCTGTAACTTAGGTAACTTTTCATTTCGTCAATTTGAGGTTAAAATTTCGAACAAGTATCTGTCAAATTCAACTTTTAGTTCAAAAGTTTTGTGAATTAGAGTAGGCTTAGAGAATTTAAACGTCAAACTATTTTCAGTCGAACGAATTTTCGAAATGAAATAGTAACAGAGTACCTAAGGAACGTGCGAAATTTCGATGGAAATTTCGTTTTTCGTTGCAATACAGTAGGCCTCCTGGATTGGCATTCTCCTTTGTGGGTACTTTTTCCTATGCCTAAAAATGTTAAAACTGCTCATAAAACATACCAACTGTATTACATATGTATTTTTTTTTTTTTTATTTATTTAATCTTTATTGCCTTATATGCAAATGGCGGACTTAATGCCAATATGGCATTCTCTACCAGTCAACCGGAAAGAAAGTGCAGAGCGAATATAACGGCAAAGAATAATAAAAAAAAAAAAAAAAGTTAACATCAAACAATGCGAAAAACAAAATTAAAACATAAACATAATTATATATACACATACTTAAATACATATCCTATATATCTAATAATATATTACACATAAACAAAAAATTCATACATAAAACATATACATATTTAAACAGTGTCCGATTATAGTAATCTGATTGAACTTAAACGCTTTCCAAGAGATTAAATAAATGTTCCCGCGCCAAAGTCTTAAACGCAGTCTTGTTTGGAGCGTTTCGCACGTGTAAAGGAAGTGCATTCCAGAGCCGAATGGCAGTAAGAGTAAATGAACTGGACACAAAGCCGGTATGGTGAATGTAATGTAATAGGAAATGATGAAATATCCTCACCAGTATATAGTCGTAGAGCATCGGATACCTCAGGAAGAATATCCGTCCGGTCATGCGGTCTCGGTGCCGCGCCGCTCCGAACACGCGCGTCACTAGCGCGCTAAACAGCAACGTGGCTGCGTTACGTTCCTATTTATACGACAAATGCATTTTTATTCATTTAAATCATCATCATCAGCCTATTAATGTCCCCACTGCTGGGGCACAGGCCTTCCCTATGGATGGAATAGGGAGATTGGGCCATGACCCACCACGCGGGCCCAGTGCGGATTGGTGGGTGCTAACGGCTGCAGATGAAGCCGGGACCAACGGCTTAACGTGCCTTCCGAAGCACGGAGGAGCTCGAGATAGTAAATTTTTGGTCTCCCATCCAATGACCGACCACTGCGAAAGTTGCTTAACTTCAACGATCGCAGCCGAACGCGCTAACCACTTGCGCCATCGAGCTCCTCATGATTCATTCATTTAAATATTGTTATGTTTTTATTTATTTTTTAAGCATTTATCTGCTAGATGTATATATCTACAGAAAAGTTTACTAGAAGAAAATTCCACGCGGACCAGGCAGCAGACGGGACTTGAAACTGCACCCTTTCCTATCCGGGCGACCATTGTGCTACCGCGGCCCTGACGGCCGTGTCGAATTTTACCTAGCATTAAATAATGCTGCTTAAATAATGTTTCGCTGATCAGCCCATTGAACAGGATGTGTTCATACTTTAACAATATTTGCGATAATTTAGGCAGTTTACCAGGAAATTGGTGTACATTGAGAGACAAAAATATTTAGTGACTTTTTTATTTTTTATCATTTAACTGCTCAATCTGTAAATCTAAAGAAAAAAATGGTTGCCTGTAAAGTCGGTTTTACGGGCGAAGATTTTACGTGACAACGTCTTTTTCTCGGTAGAATATTTATTGATATGAATATAATTAAATTGCACAATAGGAACAAGGAATTGAATGAAAATAAGAATTGCACAAATTTTAACTATAGAAATATATTTTGTTTACTAAAACATTGTACATGTAAACTTAAACTTAACACGAGAGACTCATCGTAACGTTACCGAGCGTTACACTTTTTCATAAGTGACTCCCAGCCGCAACCTAATTTAAGACGTTGTCACGTCAAAAAATTACTAGAAAATATTCCACGTGGACCAATCAGCAGACGGGACACGAACCTGCACCCTCCGTTCTACTATTTCCATTTCTTCTTTCAAATGTTTAATACTTGTAAAGGTATTTGTTCTATATATGTGTACTATATAAGCATTTAATATTGTGGGTTACCTACAAACGCGAAGAGATGTGCGCTGCCTTGCAGTTTAAGAAACACTAGAGAAAATTCGACACGGCCATCAGGGCCGCAGTAGCATAATGGTCAGTGCATTCGCCCGGATAGAGAAGGGTGCGGGTTCGAGTCCAGTCTGCTGCCTGGTCCGCGTGGATTTTTTTTCTAGTAAATTGTTAGTTTAGATTCAGATTATTTTTCAAAAAAATTACATAATCTTGCAGACTCACCATCCACGTATCCTTGTTGAATCCTTCTAACGCAACCATGAGTCCTTCACCAACGTATCCGGCCACACTTTCCTCCAAAGCAGAGTTGCGGAACAAAGCCCTTAATATATTCATGCAATGCGCGCGAGTTTCGACCGAACTGCCCATACAAATAGAGGCGTTTTCTGCCTGTGATCCATCTCCAGTTCTGTTCGCATTTTCGTTTTGTTCATTTTTATCAGAAACAATGTTATCTTCATCGGAATTTCGTTCGAAATGCGTGCTTTTTGATTGCTTTAAGGTCGACTTTTCTGCATGTTTTGTTTCTGTAGAATCACTAACATTGTTATCGTCATGGGAATTTGGCTCGTAATGTGTGCTTTTCAATTGATTTAAGGTAGAAATTCCCGTGCAGTTCGGTACTGTAGAAGCATGGGCTAGTTTCAGCAATGTGGTCATGCATTCGTGTAAGCAAGTAGGATTGCCTTTCACTTGCAACTCTGTGATAACTAGAGCCTGTTGGAAATATTAAACGGATGTATTGATTTGTTTCATAACTTAATTATACATGGTGTTACAAAAATACAAATAAAGCTTGAAGGGCGTTGAAGTACATCATATAAGGAGTCTTCTTTAATTTTCTTAAAATATTTGCAGGAAGTTTAAACTTTTTATAAATACAGTTATTTTTAATGATTAATAAAAATATCGATCATTTTAAGACACGTCACTAGTGCGAGGATCATTAAAAATAACTGTTTTTATAAAAAGTTAAAACTTCATGCAAATATTTTAAGAAAATTAGAGAAGACTCCTTAAGTGAGGTACTTCAACGCCCTTCAAGCTTTATTTGTATTTTTGTAACACCCTATATATTATAGCTAGGCATTATTATATGTAACTCAGGTAAAAGTATTTTAAGACCATCTACCAATTAAGTTGAAGTTTTACTCAAAAATATATTTGATTTTATCTAGGTTCGTCGTAGTAGTATATTTGTCGATAGGGTATTTTCCAAATTTTTGAAAACTGCTTATATTTAAAAGATTGATTGAATTGATTGAAAGATTATAATTTAATTCTAAACGTAGAAAAAGGTTAATAATTCGACTTTCAGATGATTACATAACATACACAAAGCTGACGTCACACAGTAGAAGTCAACGAAGCGAGCGTTTTGGCGGTAAATTCAAAACCATTAAAGATAAATTCAACTTTAATTGATTTAATGGAGAAAAAAAAAGACATTAATTTATTTAATAATAAATGTTTAATACTTGTAAAAGTATTCATTTTGACATTGTGGGTTGCCTATAATGCGAAGAGATGGCGCTGCCTTGCAGCTTAAAAATGGCTAGAAGAATTTCGACGCAGTAGCATAATTGGTCAGTGCATCCGCCCGGATTGCGAAGGGTGCGAGTTCGAGTCCCGTCTGCTGCCTGGTCCGCGTGGAATTTTTCCTAGTTATATTTTCTTTAGATTTAAACATCAAGCAGTTACATGCTTTAAAAATAATAAAATTTATAACCATTAATTTATTAATTTTTTCTGTTAAATCGTTTGTCCCAATCTTTAAATATAAGCAGTTTTGAAAAATTTGGATAACACCCTCGTCTGTGCTGTAAGTAAATCAAAAATATATTTTAATATCCAGGATGAAACAATAAGCGAATAATTGAAATAACACGCCATCAGTAATTATGATTTAAGATAATAATAAAACCTAAAAATTAAAGCAAAATACCAACTTAATTGCTCATATTTGAAATAATACAAAAATTGGCACAAAAATTGTGTTTCATAAACTGTTTTCATTATGTTAATTATCAGTTCGAATAAATGATCGATTCACTATTCGATTACTGACGTCAATTGAAATCATGTTCACGACAACAGACAATTCCCATCTTTCAAAATATCCTTACTTTTCGACTAAAGTTTAAATTTTCATTTTTTCATATATTTATAAAGAAATAAGTGCTATTAAAGATAGTGAATTAATAAGTCAAACGCCTAGAAATGCAAATGAATGTATTGGTAAATCAATTTAGTGAGTGATTGCGTGAGAATATGGTATTTGACAGTATTAAAAATAAAGTGCCAATTGTTAGCATCTGTGTTTAGAATGAATATTGCGAGGGGTTTTTACTATTTCTACAAAAAAACATAATTTTACTAAAAACCCATGAAAAAGATAAGTTTTCTTATCTATTGTCACGTGACCCAAAACGCTTGGGATTGGCGGAGCCTAAAATGACGTCACACCCCAGTAAACTTCCGGTTAAAGTGACATTAAATTGTATAGTTTGACGTTTTAATAACAGTCGCGTGACGTCACACACTAGTAAGACGCCATATTGTCCAGAGATACGTTACCGCGGCAACTTGAAAATGGAGTTTTTGATTTGGTTATTTTTACTGAAATACACAACAGAATGATGAATATCCATTCCATAAACGTTAGTCAATAACGTGAGATCATTTTCTAAAACTTGTCAAATACTATTAGGTGGTAAAGTCTTTGTTTACTTCTGATTTAAATTCATTTGGAACAGACTTTAGTACGAACATAGTACGACTACACCGGGACAAGCAGTTTTTTTAATCTCACCTGTATCATAAACGGCAGGCCGGCACTGCGTCTGGTGGGATGTTGTTGGCGTTGTTGTTGTTGTTGTTGTTGGTGTTGGGGCAACAGTTGGCCCAACAGTTGGGCGAGGCGGTCCCGCCCCCACGAGTGGAGGGTGGGGCTGCGGCACTGCCACACTCTGTACTCAAACGAGGTCAAATTAAATTAATTTCATTTCAATAATCATAATAATCTCGATGGCGCAAGTGGTTAGTGCGTTCGGCTGCGATCGTTGAAGTTAAGCAACTTTCGCAGTGGTCGGTCTTTGGATGGGTGACCAAAAATTTACTATCTCGAGCTCCTCCGTGCTTCGGAAGGCACATTAAGCCGTTGGTCCCGGCTGCATCTGCAGTCGTTAACACCCATCAATCCGCACTGGGCCCGCGTGGTGGGTCATGGCCCAATCTCCCTATTCCATCCATAGGGAAGGCCTATGCCCCAGCAGTGGGGACATTAATAGGCTGATGATGATAATGATGATGATGAATCATAATAATCATGATCAAAATCATTTATTCAGTTTAGGCTGTTACAAGCACATATGAATGTCTAGAAGCTACGCCATCGGTTCGCAAATCTACGGCGGGAGACCTTGTACTGAGAAGAACCGGCAAGAAACTCAGCAAGGGCTGTTTTTTTCTCCCTGTTTTATCGTTTACAGAGTCGTCAAGCTGAAAAATGACTTCAGAGATGATTCATGAAGTCACCTTCCAATACATAATGTGAAATTATACATTAATTGTTCACCTGCATTTTGACTGCTGTGTCACACAGTATAAATACAAATAGAGTTATTTATAATAGGTGTAATTAAACATTTACATCCTAAATATGATAGTAGTTAGGGCAGACTCATCTCCGCTGGCAGCACCCGTTCACGAGCATGACGCATGAACCAGCCATCGCTTCGCTCAACCATATTTTATGGAACGTAACGACGACGATGATTGAGTGGTGTCGTAACAACACGACACCACTCAATCACGTTGAACTATCTCTCATCTATTAGACAAGTCCGTCCGTCTGTCTGTGGTGCTGTTTCAGCGGACAAACCGTAAGAGATAGATAACAGTCTGATAAGACTACAAACCGGATTTGAGTAACGTAGCACTTCCGGTTTTCGAGAAATCACGAATTTCAAACGAAACCACACAAAATCTCCGAAGTTCTCAATTAATTAAATACATTTTTTTAAATCAGGTTTTGGTGAACATTTGGTTCACTAGTTTGCTAGTTATTTTTGACGTGACAACGTCTTAAATTAGGTTGCGGCTGGGAGTCACTTATGAAAAAGTGTAACGCTCGGTAACGTTACGATGAGTCTCTCGTGTTAAGTTTAAGTTTACATGTACAATGTTTTAGTAAACAAAATATATTTCTATAGTTAAAATTTGTGCAATTCTTATTTTCATTCAATTCCTTGTTCCTATTGTGCAATTTAATTATATTCATATCAATAAATATTCTACCGAGAAAAAGACGTTGTCACGTAAAATCTTCGCCCGTAAAACCGACTTTACAGGCAACCATTTTTTTTTATTTATCGAATCTTCATTGAAGTGAAAGCCCGCGTAGTGCGGATTGGCGGGAGCTGACGACTGCAGAAGCAGCCGGGACCAACGGCTTAACGTGCCTTCCGAAGGCACGGAGGAGAGCTCGAGATAGTAAATTTTTGATCACCCATCCAATGACCGACCACTGCGAAAGTTGCTTAACTTCAACGATCGCCATCGAGCTCCTCTGTTGATGTATGTTTGTTCGTTGAACTATGATCATACCTTAACGTGCCTTCCGAAGCACTGAGGAGAGCTCGAGATAGTAAATTTTTGATCACCCATCCAATGACCGACCACTGCGAAAGTTGCTTAACTTCAACGATCGCCATCGAGCTCCTCTGTTGATGTATGTTTGTTCGTTGAACTATGATCATACCTGGCTAGGAACTCCGTGAAGCCCACATAGGCCTGCTCGAAGGCGCCCCGGTGCTTGGTCTCGGCCAACAAGGTGGAGAAGTGTTCCCCCACCTGCAGCACTTGTTGGGGGGAGAGCACTCCCACCCCACCACTCTCGCCGCGGATGCTGAGGCGGGAGACGATGCTGCCTAGGAGAAGGGATACCTGGAGGAGGTAGAAGATTAATAGAAACATGGGCCAAAAAATATCAATTAACTTTAAGAATAGGGTATTACCACCATTTTTGAAAATTGACTGATTGAGGGCTATCGCGTATGAATCCGACGCTAGAGGCACTTGTGTAGCGTGAGGTGTCCGAAATGTCAAATGTTATTGCTTGGACTGGACTAAGCGGGTTTATTACTAATGAGGGCTACCGTTTTCTGTCTCACCAGATGGCGCCACTGTTGAGTGAGGTCCTAAATTGTAACTTTTAAAGTTTATTAATACGCACATGAAATCAAAGGTTACATTTAGATCGTATTTTAACACAAAAGAACCATATCCTAAACATAATAGGCCAAGTCTTCCAAGCCAAAAAATAGGAACATAATCATTTTTCTAAGCTCAAATTTTTAATAACAAACATTCATTGCCACATAACTCATATTTGCCATAATTAAGCCGAATTGTTACCAATTATTCACAACATTATTTTAATAAGAAATAAACCCGCGTAGTCAACCAACAAGCAATAACATTTGACATTTCGGAGACCTCACGCTACACTAGCGCCTCTAGCGGCGGATTCATACGCGATAGCCCTCATTAAAATAATGTTGTGAATATTTGGTAATAACACAGATTAATTATGGCAAATATGAGTTACGTGGCAATGAATGTCAGTTATTTAAAAGCGGAGCTAAGAAAAATTATTATGTTCTCCTTTTATTAACGAACAAAACGGAACTGCGCATCAATACTTAGGTGGCATGGCCGATTATACTTAGGATACGGTTCTTTTGTATTAAAATATGATTTATATGTAAACTTCAATTTCAAGCGCGTATCAACTTTAAAAGTTACACTTCTGAACCTCACTCAATAGTAGCGCCATCTGGTGAGAAAAAAATGGTAGTCCTCATTAAATTAATCGAAAACTCTGAAGGGAGTGGATGCCATATTGACGTCATTAGTACTGTAAATAAATGCGTTACCTTGGTTACGAAAACAATAAAGTACTGAGTTGAGAGCTGACACTTTGGCATATACTAGCGGTGTGACGTAATAATGTGGCGGCTTCTACGACTACTATTTCATCGTGTTTTAAAACAGATTGAAAAAACTGTAAACTTTGAATTGAATTTTAAATTACTTTTTGTTATTTTATGAACTGGAACTAACATTTTTCTACTCCTTTTTGCCTAAACTTATCAATAATACATTTATAGGTTTTTTGAGTGAAATATCCTATTATAACTTTTCCCATAACACTTTTGAAAATCATCTTCTGCCTAAATTACGAACGACTACACCAAAATTGGCTAATTCTGTCTTAGTGTTCATTATTGTCAGGACGAGGTTTGTATGAAATATTTATTTTTGTCGAACAAAAAAATTATGGCGGACGCTACTGTACGAAGTTAACGCCGGGTCGCTTTTGGAATGCCTGGTATGTATTGCATGTATGTATGTACAAACCATGTACGGTTTCATGTAAAGTATGGTGGTGTAGGTGAAAGTTTTTCCAGTTTTATTTCTGCAGCCTTTTGTAAGGTAAGATCCCTTCTGCCTGAACTGTCTTATATTTTCATAATTATTAAAATAAAATTGCAATGCTCTTTTCTTATTTAATCTGCTAAAATATTAAATTTGTAGTATCTGTGTAAAATTATAACAATATCATAATAAAATTTTAGTACTGGCACTAGTGGTCCGCCCTCGCTTCGCTTCGGGGTAGAATCGATCAAAATCCTTTCTTAGCGGATGCCTACATCATAACATCTACCTGCATGCCAAATTTCAGCCCGATCCGTCCAGTGGTTTGGGCTGAGCGTTGATAGATTACTATGTCAGTCAGTCACCTTTGAGTTTTATATAATATAAGATTCTAGTTAGTATAATTTTATCCCAAATGTATATTATATGTAACATATTAATTATAGTTACCTCCTTGACAGTTCTCCAGGCGCACAGCAATAACATCTGAGCGGTGACAGCGCGGCCATCTTCAAGCCGGATACCACTGTTATTATAAATTATTTATTTATTAATAATAACATTTCATTAAAAACTTAAACGACAGGCCAATAATTAAAACTAAACCGCCAGTAAATATAGTATCAGATTAAAAAAAAATCAATGATTTTCTTATAATGAAAATGCTAGAATAATCTCTGACGAACACGAACATTAAAAATATATAACTGTAAATAATCGATTTATTTGAAATGTCCATGAAATATCCTAATAATTTTAAGTTGTTTTGTATAGTATTGTTTAAAGTGCAAATAATTGGATAATTTAAAGTAAACAAAAGCAGACGTGGAAAATATTCAATATCTTTTAGGCTTTTTTTGTAGAGCACTCTCAAGAGTGCCTATCACTGGGTAGTTTGCCCCACATATTTATTTTTATTACAGTTACCAAAAATTTTTATAAGAAATAAATCGATGGTCTCACCCCTCGTTCCCGTGATCAGTGAGCACAACCCCCTGGTCCATAGGCAGGTGTCCCTCAGGCGAGGAGTTGTTGACGACTACACCGGCGACGCCGCTCGCTCTGCCACCCGCCGCTATCACCTTGCGGACCAACTGTGCCCATTGCTCGTCCGACGATATCGCCCTACATAATACGATGATCATCAACATCAGCCTATCGATAATCCCACTGCTGGGGCACAGGCCTTCACTATGAATGAAATAGGAAGATTGAGCCATGACCCACCTACCCACGCGGCCCCGGTGCGGATTGACGGGTGCTAACGATTGCAGATGCAGCCGGGACCTACGGAATAACGTGCCTTTCGAAGCATGGAGGAGCTCGTGATAATAAATTTTTGGTCACCCATCCAATCACCGATCACTGCGAAAGTTGCTAACTTCAACGATTCCAGCCGAACGCGCTAACCACTTGCGCCAACGAGCTCCTCAACATCATTAGACCCAAAATCTACAGAGCCGTTTATGACATTTTTTTAAGGGAAAAGCTAGTTTGTTTGTACATCCGATAGGGGCGCTGCGTAGTTTTCATAGAAATTTTGACGCGCTCGGGCCTCACTACAGTAGGGTTCTCCAGAAAGGAGAACCTGGGGAACGTAACAAAATACAAAAATAAGAATACTTGGGATTCTTAACTGGATTAATTTGAATTCAGGAAAATATAAGTCATCATAAAATATAATCAACCGATCGAGTGTATGCCTAAATTCAATCTCTCTGGAATATTCGATGTATGACGGAAAGTTCTCGTTTTTGAATCTTCAAAATAATGGTATTTACTTTTAATTACAACTGCTAGCCGTAGGCATTATATAAGCATAGAGTTAATACAAGCGAGGAGGCCAGGTAACGCTAAGGGCATTACAGTGACGATTTTAACGCGTATAAGATTTTTAATTCGTCCCGTCCGTTGTGCTGCTATTAAAATTTCCTCACAAACCTTGTTGATATTTGACGCATATCGAGAGAGAATCTCTTATCTATTAGACAAGTCCGTCCGTCCGTCCGTCCGTCCGTGGTGCTGTTTCAGCGGCCAAACCGTAAGAGATAGATATAGAGAATGTTTAAGTTATAAGTTAAGAATAGTCTGATAAGACTACAAACCGGATGTGAGTAACGTAGCACTTCCGGTTTTCGAGAAATCACGTGATTTCTATTTCAAACGAAACCACACAAAATCTCCGAAGTTCTCAATTAATTATTATTTTTTTTTTGGTGAACATTTGGTTCACAGGTTTGCTAGTTAGAATATATTGTTTTAAACTTTCATGGTCACTAACATTATAGTAATATGTTATTTACGGGATTGTTACCATGTAACTTGTTTTTAACGAGTTTCCGATGTTTCGGCACTGTTGCAAGCGCCATGATCACGGTGTAACTGAACTGAATATCAGTTACTCCGAGATCCCGTAAATAACTTATCGAATATATAAAATTCTCGTGTCGCGGTGTTTGTGGTTAAACTCCTCCGAAACGGCTTTCCCGATTCTCATGAAATTTTGTGTGCATATTGCGTAGGTCTGAGAATCGGACAACATCTATTTTTCATCCCCCTAAATGTTAAGGGTAATCCACCCCTAATTTTTTTTTTCAATTTTAGATATTTTTTTTTATGATACAGCATTAGTAAATACATACAGGGTGAAATTGAATGTTTCTATGAAACTTCGTGAGATTGATGGGTTACATGTATAGAGTATGCCTGATTTTTTTCGGATTTTTTAAAATAATTTTTTACGTTTTTTAATTTTTTATTTGGTTATTTTTTTGTCATTTCTTCCTTATGAGTAATTATTCATTTTAAACACGTCTACATAGAAGTTATAAAGCAACTTAAAATAAGCGCTAATAAAAAAACAGAAACTTAATGAATGCCTTCAATATGCCTACAGTCGAGATCAGCGCCGGTCGGGGCGACGACCGGCGGCCGCCTGTAGGTACCCTACTACACGCACAGATGACTCGGCGCTTACCTACTCGCTTTGATCCACACTATTTAAAAACATTACAATAAAATAGTCTTAGATGCTATATTATAATTATTTATTCACTGATACACAATACCTTTGAATATTATTTCATAAAGCACAGGTAATTAATCAATAATATAAATCTTAATCTAAAATTAAGAGCAAATCGGTATAACTTACGAGCTTAGGGAAGGAAGGAACTCTTCGTGTCTGATTTGCCCACGTCATGAAATTCCGAACACATTTAATCACAGCCACAGTCACACATACACACACACACATAATAATATGTTGTTTTGCGGCAAGCACGGGCGGGCGGCGCGCCGCACGCTGGCAACTAGCGCCGGTTGCGGCGTCTTTGATGATGTGAATTCCGCCCACCTCCCCTCTTCCCCGCGCGCGGACGTTTGCTTTGATTGCATGCAAAACGCAGTCGCAAGTATATCAATCGCGCGTGAGCGTGCGCATCTTTTGACTTGGTGACATACACTGTGATAATTTCATTATGCCTCGGTATACAAACCAAGAATATTTAGAGATGGTGTACTGCTATCGCGAGTGTGACGAAGTAGGTTTGGTTTACGAATGAGTCCCTAAACCATAGAAGTTGCATTTTGTGCAGTGAGTAGTGATAGGGACACTTTAAAAAAGGTGAAAAGACACGTCCGCAAACAGGCAACCTTTGTTTGCAGCAAAATGGTGGTTTAGAGCAACAATTTTGCAGATAATAATTTAAGTCTCTTTTTATTGCTAGTGTAAATACTTTTTGATTAGAAACAACTAATTGTGTACTACCAGTGTGATTGATTTGATAAAAAGTTCTAGTGAAAAAAATGAATATGTTCCTCGTTCCTCGTTGTACCTACCTAAATCGCCGGTCTCGTAAGTACTTTTGAATACCTGGTTATAAATTTTATTCTTGGGGTATTAAGCAATAAGTATTTCTTTTTGTTTAACATTTGCCTATTTCCAATCGTGACAAAATTATTATTAACTTTTAAAGTTTTTCTCTGCTTAAGAAAAGATGACATTTGTGCTTATTATTTCAATTTCAATAAAGGCATCTAAGACGATTTTATTGTACCTATTGTGTGGAATCAAACGAGTCAGTTGAGCTCTGGTTAGAGTTAGGTAGCTACTTACTCAACGGCTGGCGGGCGCGGTCGGTCGTTGACCCGCGGTGGAATTTCAATGTTTTTCCGTTTTTTAGAAGTGCTTATTTATTAGTTGTTTTTCACTGGATATGTAAGTTTGTTTGTTTAAAATGAATAACTACTCAAAACGAGGAAAGGACATAAAAATACACAAATTATAAATAAATACATGAAAAAAATATACTTCAAAAAAATCCGAAAAAAGACAGGCATACTCTATACACATAACCCAACAATCTCACGAAGTTTCATAGAAACATTCAATTTCACCCTATATAACTCTAAATATTCACCCTTCTACCACCAACCCCTATTTTTTTAAGGCGGTACGAAGTTCGCTGGGTTAGCTAGTATTACTATCAAAATTAGAATAGTTTGCGAATGCGAAATATCATTGTCAAATTCCTTTGTTTCCCGTAGTCCACCTCGTAGTCCACCCAGGTGGACCATTTTTTATTTTATTTATTAAGGGATAAAAAACGGTTACAATATGTGTTTTATGACTAAAGACTATTATATGTGGTACCATGGTACCATAAAATCTAAGGTAATATTGTAACCCACAATATTATCCACAAATTATTAAATAAAAATAGTGCCTTGCTGATGTTACATTCAGTGAGAGTAAACTTAACACTGTTATAATCCTTATGCTTAACTATAATTTTAACAAACAAAAAGTACCTAATTAAACATTTTTCATAAACAAATTGGTAATATTTTTATATATATTTTATCACTACATCAAAAATAAGAAATAACTACACTAAGCGAGTTTAATACATATAAATAAATATAGATGCTATGTCTCTTTATGCAATATTTTAATAACATCATACCTAAATTTATATTTAGTTTTTGAAAATATATCCACTTCTGCAAACAAAGTATTGTAAGTTAAGGACCATGGGGATTATTTATTTCCCGTGTTACACCAGGTGGACTACGGGTATTTTTTTTCCCCCTCATAGTTCACCTGGTTGAACCACGGGAAATATTTTTTACCCGTGGTCCACCTGACTCTTCCTCAAATTATTACGGCTCTTGAGTGTCTTGAGCACAATAAGAATTGCAAAATCAAAAAAGCGCAAATTAATTGAAAACGATGATTATATAAAAGATATTCTGATGCAGTTAATTAACAACGATATTTCTATAGGCATCGCTTTAGAAAAACTATGCTAATTTTGATTTTAAATATTACGCGATTTTTAAAAAGTGTAATTGCTTTTTTGTTCATAAGAACATCCATAATTTACTGTTAGAAACATATGGCTATGCAGGTAGACCACGGGAAAAAAATAATCCCCGTGGTCCACCTGGGTGGACTACGAGGTGGACCACGGGAAACAAATGGTCAAATTTTGTATCGAAAGTTGTGTGGGTTACCTACAATGTGCAGAGATGGCGTTGCTTTGCAGCCTAAGAAATGCTAGAAAAAAATCAACAAGGCCATCAGGGCCGCGGTAGCATAATGGTGAGTGCATTCGCCTGGATAGCGGAGGGTGCGGGTTCGAGTCCTGTTTGTTTCCTGATACGCGTGGAGATTTTTTTTAGATTTAAACATTAAATTAAAACAAGTAAAACTTTCTTTATCCAGCAATTAAATGTTAAAAAAAACTAAATTGTGACTTATTCATAATCACATTTTACACACCAAAATATTTCAGTTAAAGTATGAAAATACTCACTCAGGGTCCAAGTCCTGTAACACGCGTCGCATACAGTGCAGGGTTCCGTACAGGGGTCCGTGTCTGGGGGCCCGTACTATGCTTTGTTCACATTCCTTCAGTTCTGCCTTCAGTCTCGCCAGTAAAATGTTCAGGAGAGCAAAAGACACCGGTTCATTTTGTGCCCTGAACATAAATAAAATTTGTTCATTGTTTTATAAGCTTTGATTTAACAATAATATATGACGACTTCCGTGGCCGAGTGGTTTGTACGCCAGGTTTCATGGTGTAGCTGACTCGAGAGGTCCCGGGTTCGAATCCTGGTGGGGGCAGATGTTTGTGTGATGAATACGAGCATTTGTACTCTAGTCATGGATGTTTAATAGCAGCATTTTACCTGAAATAAAATGCATATTAAAATACTTACCTCACTGAAAGCTTTATATTGAGATAGCACTTCCGTTTCCCGTCGAATTACCATCAGTTTCCGTACTTTTATTCACCTTGTATCCGGTCCAGTGGCGACACCTGGCAGAAGCGCGGCCATTTTTGTTTTCCTAAGTTTTGACAGCGCCATATTAACTCATTGGCTCAATTATTTCACCAGGCAGAATTTAAAGTGAAAGCTTTCAGTGAGGTAAGTATTTTAATATGCATTTTATTTCAGGTAAAATGCTGCTATTAAACTACTTGACCGTCACTGAAAGCTTTATATTGAGACCTGTTTGTTATCGCCTGGTGATCGCCACGTACATAGATATATACGCCAATGTGACAATTTATGATAAATTTAAATATTAACATTTATCAGATTATATGAAACTGTATAAAGAAACGAGTAAGCTTAAAAATGGATCAAATAATATTATTTGAATCACGCCTTTAATTTCTTCACGCTTACGAAGCTGCTTTAACATATGTATTAGCTGATCGCTATATTCCTTTGCTTAAAACTCGCGAATTATATATATATATTTGCTTTGTTAATGACCGGACGCTTCCTTGTGTAGCATTCATTTGTATCTTTGTATATCACAAATAAGGCGTACGAATGCGAGAAAAAGATGTAAAGTTGTTCGATACTGAGTCTTACATTTTACAATACTGTACTTTTTACTTATGTACCAAAAATCAGGGTCCCACTTACGATTACCATTATTCGATACAAGTCACCAATCGGATTGTCTTTAACTACTTTCACCTGTTTTGAACCAAAACAAAGCTAAAACTAATCTTCGTCGGTACAAATACAATGATTCGGTATATTTGAAGTAGGAACAAGTCATGTGTACCACATGCTGAACCAAATAATACGCAGCATAATTACTGTATGACGTTCAGAACAAACAACTAGTATGACGAGGTATTTGAAACAGATCATTATGATATAACGAGTACATTATTGAAGAAAAGGAAATGATTCTTTAAAACAATCGACTTCAATATATTATTATGTGTTTGCCAAGACAGGTGAGCTTAGGTAATTAGACTTATCATCCATTGGTATATCATGTAAAAACTACCGACTTATTTAGAATAATGGTACTTATTTTGAGATAAGTCACGTGTTAAAATAAGTCTCAAATCGTGTTAGCTCAGAGCCGAGTCCACAACCTGCGGGATTATTCCGATAAACATTCTTGTTCCTAGACCAATGCAACCACGCAAGCCAGCGTTTCCAAACATCTCATAGCTGTTTAAAACAGAGCTGTCGCTCTTTGTAAAATATGATAAAAAGCGTAGTGCTAGCATATCTATTTGATTGGAGTGGAGATTGAAGTGAAGTGGTAGAGCCGTATTCTTCAACTATACTTGCCAAGCTTTCATATTAGATTGGCAGGAAGTGATTGCAAGGTCGATTGCAATGAATTTATAACTATTGTTAGAAGTAGGGAGTGGTTGATACAACCCCACGGAATGACAAACATGTTGAAACCGATCAACTTCTGAAGTTTTACGTTTTTACAACGAAATTCTCAGGTATAGTTTTTATATTGTTGCAGGGTTGCCGTGATAAATTATGCTATTACGAAGTTCAGACCAGATTTTATGAAATTCATTTGCCATCCTGGAATCTATAATTGATTGTAATTTTTCCTTTTGTTTTTCAGTTCTTAGATCTGAGTCATTTATATGTATTACTTAATACTAAATAAAGATTTAGTTATTTATAAGATTTACACAGCTTACATGAAGTGTGCATGTAGTATGCGTAGGGTTTGAAGTATATTTATTCCAGACAGTCGTGGCAAGGTTAGAAAGCGTAAGTTTAATATTAAGAACAGTTTTCAGTATTTTTTACTAAAAATAACATAAAGTGGATAATTGCATACAATGATCTTCAAAACCTTTCAAGAATTTGGTAGATCGTGCAATTTTTCTTCAGTACATAGCACCACTTATATATCAAAATGATCATGTTGGCCACCTCGGACACCTCATACACGACATTTCTAATTTTGCATGTTTCTCTCATTACCTCAAAAGAGTGAGCAACCCATTTGGTTTACTTTTGTTATTTTCAAGAGAAAATATGTTATCATCTATCTATCTGGCAGATAGTCCTTAAATTGCAGAAAACTTAGAATTCTTTACATAGTTATAGTGTACTGCACTTGAGATTGGAGCTTGATATATATTGGATTTAGATAAACAAGCTTTTGAATGGCATGCGACACCATTAAATTTATTTAAGAATTATTTGTGGTGCAACCAATTTATCAACTGTCCTGCACTAAATTTTTTCAAACATTAATTGTTTCGATATTCCTTTTTCTTTTGAAATGTATTACAGCACGTCCTCGATAACTATATTACGGTAGAACAACCATAGTGATCGAGTCAACACTTCACACCAATGAGCCTAGCCTCATAATAGGCATTGAAAGACTTGTGTTATGGGCTAACGCATAGAAATGCATAATGATGATATTTGTTAACAACCAAGACTTAGGCACAGATGCTTGTTTTAATCATACAATGATTTGCCCCACCGGGGTGAACCCAAGACCTCGGAGTATGCGACACCTTTAAAACCACGTACATTGCACTTCACAACTGGGTACGTCAATATTCGATGTTCGATCTTTATAGTCTATTAGTAGTTAGAGGGTAGTTTATAGCTGATACTTATGTGTGTACGCAAACCATGAGCGGGTATGTTGCGTTGCGTCGATGTATGGATTTCCACGCGATGGAAGTAATGAATTATGTCAAGCGACATTTATTATATTTTCAATTTACTTATTTTTAATGTTTCGAATCGTTTACACTTTTACAGACCCCATGGTCACAAAAATAAATTATGAATCACGAATAGACTATATGTTAAATTATGCATAATTTGCTCCACTCGAGTGTCGTATGTTACCGGTGCTTACATAATAGTACGAACTCCATAAGCGAACATGTTCTAAGGAAAACATATATTGAGCTTCACGTAATGGAAATAATATATTATGTGTGATATGACCCCATAAGGTCGATTATAAGATTGATGAGGATATTCCTCCATCAACGATATTTTGTTACCGATACTTGTATGTGTAGGCAAGCCATGGAAGGCATGTCTTTATTCATAATGAGTTCCATACGGTGGAAGCAAATTATACATAATATGCCCCCGCGAGGGGCGGTCATTAGAGTTTTGGTAATATGCACCCTGCGAGGGTGGTTTGCTACCGTTACTCGTATATGTAGGCAAGGCATTAGAGTCATTTCATAAGGTTCCACGTAGTGGAAACAAATTGTATATAATATGCACCCCGCGAGGGCGATTTGCTGCCGGTACTCGTATATGTAGGCAAGGCATTAGAAGCATTTCATAAGGTTCCACGTAGTGGAAACAAATTGTATTTAATATGCACCCCGCGAGGGTGATTTGCTTCCGGTACTCGTATATGTAGGCAAGGCATTTGACGCATTTCATAAGATTCCACGTAGTGGAAACAAATTATATATAATATGCACCCTGCGAGGGTGATTTGCCACCGGTACTGTAGCGGTACGCCATGGGAGGGCATGTCCTGACACGCCTTGGGCTTCATGAGATGAAGCTTATGAGTATCACTTGCCCCTGCGCGAGTTGAATCCATGACTAATTCTGACTTAATACGAGAAAAACAATCTCAAAAGCTCTGAATCATTATGGGTGATTAGATGGTATCTTATTAAGTGGTGCTTCATCACAGAGATCACTAACTTCTTAAGCAGTGCTTTAGTTTTTACTTTTTAGCTTTGTGCCCTCACTAGCTGTAAAAGACCTAAGAAACGATTCTGTTATCTTATCACTTTCGTTATTAAAATTAACTGAAATTAATTGCGGGTGCCTTCCCGCAATGATTCATTTTTATTTTAGAAATATGCAATTGCTGAAAGAAAATTAATGTCAGGAACGTGATATATCATAAATTATCATCATACTTCTTTACCTCGTTGTTTGTTTCCAGGTTGGCAAAGCCTGGACTATGATTATAATTTTCAATTTACATCAGCATATCATTTAAAATAAACGTTGAATGTCTTTCGAACAGAGCGTTCCTTTATCCTAGTTTAGTCACACGACTCACATGAGAATTTTTATTACGTGTATTGGTCAGTAAAAATGTTAGAACTTTTTATTCATAAGCCTTTTGATATTGATAACTGGCCATGTTCAGAAAAAGGCATATCGACATTAGAAATACCTTATTAAGATTGTACATAGTTCACTTACCCCTCGAACAATCTTTTAATAAAAGGGCTGGAATATCAAGCTCGCTTACTTTTCTTGAGATAGCGATGCCGCTTTCGTTATACCAGAAGATGACAAATTCAACCATCTTGCTGTTTTTGCCACTAATGCCAGTCAGTTGGCGGCTGAAACGTCAATATTGACCGATGTTCCTTCACTCTAAACTATAAAATAATTTAATTAAGTATTTTGTAATACATTTACCAATTTACTTTCACACTTACTTATACGGAAACATTAATTGAGTACCAAGAGAAAACACTCTTAAAATAGTTTTTATTACAAACGACCAAGACAGTCGTAAAGTATTGCAAAATTTACTTTAATGTAGGTACTTTAATTTTTTAAACAAAACGCACCTTGAATGGCCGTCAAGTTTTACTCACAGCTTATTATAACTTTTTTAAACAAGGGTATTGCACAATTTAACATATTTGTTTTAAATATCCCTTATCACAAGGGCTCCAAAAACTATCAAAAAGAATAATAGTTTTACTTACGGTTCCTTCACTTTTAACACGTAAAGTACCTATTTGGAATAACACGAACGGCAAAAACCGTTAAAATAAAATAGTTTTACTTACAGTTTTATCACTTAATAATAATAAAACCTTTAAAATCTCACAACGATCGCTCAGATTGAGCACGTGTTGCTTCGACGGGAGTCAGAACGCCAATGAGTTAATATGGCGCTGTCAAAACTTAGGAAAACAAAAATGGCCGCGCTTCTGCCAGGTGTCGCCACTGGACCGGATACAAGGTGAATAAAAGTACGGAAACTGATGGTAATTCGACGGGAAACGGAAGTGCTATCTCAATATAAAGCTTTCAGTGACGGTCAAGTAGTTTAATATGCATTTTTATATAAATACTAGCTGTCCCAGCGAACTACGTACCGCCATAAAAAAATAGGGGTTGGTGGTAGAAGGGTGAAAATTTAGGGTTGTATGTATTTGTGAATGATGTATCATAAAAATTAAAAAAAAAATATCTAAAATTGAAAAAAAAAATATTTAGTGGTGGATTACCCTTAACATTTAGGGGGATGAAAAATAGATGTTGTCCGATTCTCAGACCTACCCAATATGCACACAAAATTTCATGAGAATCGGGAAAGTCGTTTCGGAGGAGTTTAACCACAAACACCGCGACACTAGAATTTTATATATCAGATACTTATATATGTACAGTATATGTATTCTATCCGTTACCCTAGTAGCCCATAACACAAGTCTTACAGTGCTTACTTTGGGGCTAGGCTAATTGGTGTGAGTGTTGGAAATATTTATATTTATTTATTATTTTATTTTGGGGACATGTCCATATTATTTTTACTATTAATAAAACAAAAAAAGATTGTATTTGAATTTTTTAAATATTTAAGACTTGTAAAATTATTTCGTTTGACATTGTGGGTTACCTACAATGCTAAGATACCATATCCTCTGCTGCCTTACAGCTTCGGAAATACTAGATGAAATTCGATAGATTTCATTAGCATAACTACATCTGGCGCTGGTCCGAATCCTCGTTCGGGGAACTGGCATCAGACCGAGTGGATATTTCTTTAAAGTAGATTTTATTCTCATCGTCAGCCTATTAATGTCCCCACTGCTGGGGCACAGGCCTTCCCTACATATGGAATAGGGAGATTGGGCCATGACTCACCACGCGGGCCCAGTGCGGATTGGTGGGTGCTAACGACTGCAGATGCAGCCGGGACCAACAGCTTAACGTGCCTTCCGAAGCACGGAGGAGTTCGAGATAGTAAATTTTTGGTCACCCATCCAAAGACCGACCACTGCGAAAGTTGCTTAACTTCAACGATCGCAGCCGAACGCGCTAACCACTTGCGCGATCGAGCTCCTCATTTTTATTTACGCAGAAAAAAATAAGTATCGCAATGTTTTTTTTCAGGATGTGCTGCAGTAAAATGATTTCCGGCTCTCTACAACCCGAGGCAAAGAACAATTACATACGACAGCATAATCAACTCTCCCGTTCTGTCAGTCATCAAATTTTGTAAATTAATCTTTCCGATGCTCGAAATTAAATTATTTTATAGCACAGTGTGACCTAAACCCGCACTTTACGCACGCATTTCCGTGAGCTAAGTTGCCTATTTCTGCACGGTGTGTAAATGAATTGACCAACTTCACTATGTAGAAAAAATAAAAGGAAACACATTTAAATGTCATTTGGAGCTTAAAAACTCACAGCAAACAAATGACAAATTAGCGATATTCTTGTTTGAATTATACGAGTACAAAAAATAAAGCTCATTACCGTTGTTTAATATATTGTTATGCCAATCAAGGAATAAACGTTCATGGATACATCGAAATTCTATTTTGTTGTAATGATATTTGATTTTTTCCTTTTGAAATATACTTTCAAAATGGTTATCTGAACCGAACATGTCACACTTGCTATAAAATAGTATACGATACTTGTGGCCTAAGTTGTCTATTACTTCACGCCGTGCAGTAATAGGCAATTTAGGTCACGCGTATCGTAATGTACTATTGCTTCTAGTTAAGTTTTTTTTAAAGTTTTTATTCTTTGCCTTTGATTTAGTTTGATCAGGTACTTTACACGTTCAGGTGTAAACGGTGGTTCCTTGAACAACAACACGAGGCGGCAAGTACAAAATATGATGCTATTTAATCAGTAACGACAAAGATGAGAAAACTTTTATGAATTAATGTCATAACATAATATATCATTAAACTAAGAACCTTCAAAATATAACGTAATAACTAAAACTAAAAAAAAACTGCTGTTTAATTGTTGTAGTAATTAATAACTAAATTATTGTCTCGACTTGCTGATATTGTCCTTATTAATGTGTTTTTTTAGAAAATAATAATTGTGAGGTGGTGGCAGAATACTAGCGACAAGTCAAAACTTGACTGTCACATGCTGAGCCACATACCTTTTTGTTTCAATTATTTACTGTCATTCTATTTGTGTATTGTACCATTTGTATGTTGAAACAAATAAATAATTTATTATTATTATTATTATTTACCTGTTCGCTTGACTAGCCACCATAATAACTTCGGGAAGCTTGTCTTTAAGCAATAGCAGTTTGTAGGCAGCAGACACGCAATCCGTTGGCTTTAGAGAAGAAGCTTGCCGCAAAACGTCTGACAGATCAATGCTCACACTGAATTTAGTATTCTGAAAAATATAAGAATCAGAATCAGAACTTTATTTGTGAAACATAGGTTAGTTACATGGTATATATCATTTTGTCTCCAAGCTATTCGTCTCAGGGGGCCAATCGCCTAACCGGATTGCTTTGGAAAACGCTATCGCTTACGATTTCATTTTGTTATTTCTAGCCAACTGAGGTTTTCAACTGCCTCGCGCTCTTTTTTTTCTTTTGCATTGTTAATAACAATATTAAAAAAATGAGCGTGAGGTATTTGAAAACCTTCGGCGGTCAGAAATAACAAAATGAAATCGTAAGCGATAGCGTTTTCCAAAGCAATCCAGTTAGGCAATTGGCCCCCTGGAACGGTCTTCCGGAGAGCGTGAGAAGAGCACCCAGTAAACCTGCTTTCAAGATCCTTGTACGTCAGCATTTCGCTAAGAAGTCATAACAATTTCCATATTATGAACCAACTTCTGGTCAGTCCGACTATTATTAATATTATTTGTAGTTAATAGTTATTTTCTGTTTTATTATAGTATTGTTAAGTAAGTATAGTGGTGTTTATTATTGTATATGTGTAGGTATTTATCGTATATATAAATATGTAAACATGTATTTGTCGTATTATAAATATATAAATATGTTATATATATGTAGTTATTTAGGTATATTTATAGATGTTAATTATTATATTAAGTAACATGTAGTTTTATGAATTTAATTTTGTTTTTATTTCTCTTTAACTATATATAATGCTTTAATTTACTTGACCGCATAATGTCTCTGCTTAGCCCGATGGTTGACTGGTAGAGAATGCCATGTGGCATTAAGTCCGCCATTTGTAACAAAACAATAAAGAGAATAAAGAGTAAATAAATATAAAATTTTTGTTAGTATCACTACATTTCCACCTTAATTAAGGTATACAAATAGATATGGACCTATGAAAGAAGTACTATTATTTTTACATTGGAATCACAATTTATGATATAATATAATTTATTTATAAATATATAACACTTTTAGAATATTTAGGTTATATCATATAGTTTTTTTTTAATTAATCCCGACGTTTCCGTACATAGGTCGTTTCGACGAGTGAATGGCAACATCGGCGACTTTTTTTATTTATAGAAATAAAAGATGACGTGGATTGCCATCTTAAAAAATTCAAGGGAACAAAATTAAGTTTAAATAAAACTAGTTTTTACGGGTTAATGCACGAAAACTTTATTTATTTATTGACGTTTCGCAGCCTTTTCAGGTCTGCATCGTCAGAATAATGAATTTTTATTTAAAATTGTTGAGCTACCTTCGAAAGACTTATATTGACTTATATTGCGTTCGGTTATTTCATTGGAAGATTTTTAAAATTTTATTGTCTATGTATGAATTTATTATTTAATTTACTTAATAAAATATTTTATATAAAATTCTTGTTTGTAATTTTGAGTTTATTTATTTGACCCTAACTACCGTAAATTAAGTTTGGTTGACATTTAATACCATTTTTTTCAAAGCCTAACTTCTTACATTTTAAGAAAGTTCCGTCGCGAAAGTGTGAGAGATCTTAGCAGGGGATTATTATCATCAGTACAGCGTGTTATAGTTTTGTCACAAACGCTCACGCAACAGAACCGCGAAAGTGCTAGAGATCGAATTTGCCAGATCACCGCAAGTCGCGATAGAGGTCGAGTCACCACCACCACCATCACCATCAGCCTATTAATGTCCCCACTGCTGGGGCACAGGCCTTCCCTATGGATGGAATAGGGAGATTGGGCCATGACCCACCACGCGGGCCCAGTGCGGATTGGCGGGTGCTAACGACTGCAGATGCAGCCGGGACCAACGACTTAACGTGCCTTCCGAAGCTCGGAGGAACTCGAGATAGAAGATTTTTGGTCACCCATCCAATGACCGACCACTGCGAAAGTTGCTTAAATTCAACGATCGCAGCCAAACGCGCTAACCACTTGCGCCATCGCTCCTCAGTAATGCGGCTCATTCTAAAATGAGCGTTATGCAGTGCGGCGTAAGGGAGAAAGTGCAACGACATCTGCACTTGTTTACAAGTTATGCGCGTTATCTGCGTAGGTATAAGTAGGTACTTCGTACTCGCGAGTGCTAGCTAATTCTCTAGAATGCGTCGATTGGCGTATATAAACGCGATTGGCGGCGCAGCGATTTCGGAGCGAATCCAAAGGCGATCAAAGTGCAACAAAAGTGTTCAAGTGCGATTGTTTAGAGACTTGTATAGTGAAATACAGTGTTTAGTGAGTGTTTTGTAATTAACATTGTGAGTTAATTGTGTGAACTGTGTGGTGAATAAAGAACTGTCAAGCGTGAACTGGCATATAAATTCGAACCCCATCCCGACACGTAACAGTTTTTGAAGTTATACTTCTTTAGGTGCTTTATGAAAAAATGATGAGAGTGAAATTTTAAGATGCGCGCGCATCGCTGTAACACAAAATTTTAACTTCATGCGTTACTTTTGTGTTTACCGCACATTAAGAAAATCTACCAACAAAATAGAAATAGAATCTTTATTTAGTGGGTGCTAACGACTGCATTGTGAAGGCCTATCAAAAGTATTTATTAATCTGGAACAACGGAACCAAAGCGCGATTCAGGAGACTACAGCGCCATCTCTTGACCATTGGTGTAGTAGAACCAAAAACCACATCTTTATTTTTTGTAATAAAGTAACAGTTATAGGTATTCATATTTATAATATTTATCCACATGTTTTTAGTTTGTATATTCGGAATACGTGTTTGAGTTTCATACAAGTGCTAATCAAATATGTTCTAATAAATTATATTCAGTAGCGGTTTTAATTGAATATTTTGATTATTTATTTATTTTTTCAAATTAAAACTGAACTTTATTGACTGTGTCCTTTTCCAAACTTGTTATTAATTTATTGTAATTAATTATTTGCATGCAATTAAAAACTAATTTTAAACGATGCCAAAGAAGGATAACTTCTCACGCGCCTACATAAGTACACGCACCCATTTTTTAGTATTATTAACACAGTGTAATGTGTTGTAATTGAGTATATTGTAGTGTGTTGAGTATATTGTAGTGTGTTGTGTTATATTGTGTAGTGCTATACAGTTACCCGCAGCAGATGGGTCGGGCAGGAGGCTAACAATGCGCGGGCCCGGGTTCTGTTATCGTCATAAGTGTCCTCTAGACGTTCCACCAGTCTACTCGCGAACTGTGGGCACCACAACCTGATGGAATAACAAATTTTATGTATGTCGTTTTGTTAAATTATCCGGTATGTTGTATTTCTAGACAATTGACTAAACGCCAAAATCCAATAAAAGACTGAAGGATTTGTTGCTTCACCGTTTAACCAGGCGAATGTTGAGAATTAGTTTAAAACTATCCGTGCGGTGACGGAGAAAGAATACCACTCACCGCCCCTTCACTTCCCGCGGGTGTCGTAAGAAGCGACTGAGGGATATCAGAGTGTAGGTGTATAATATGTAATGATGCAATAATAATATTAATAATAAAATTCCGCAAACTGACAAATTATAGAGGTCACGAAATATTAAGTTGGCATGTTACATTACGCAATTATAGTTTACTTTTAATTTACATTATACTAATAAACACACTCTCTGTTCAACCTTGTTTCCTTTACCATCTCCGATCTTAACTTCATCACCTGGTAATCACCACATTGGTGACCCCGCGTAAAATTCGTACGTAATTACCAATACAACCCCTGCATCAAGTTCGACTTCAGTTGACAAGGAGCTAGCTGCAATTACAATATCAAGCAAAATCGCGGACTTTTGGACAGAAATGCCAAGACTGTGGTTCGCACAATTTGAGACCATCATGGCACCACAAAAACAGGGAGATGAGTCGAAATTCAACATTGTCATATCCAAACTGGGACGCGACTCCATCCAACAGGTCAGCGATATTTTACTCGCGCCTCCAGCTGAAAACAGATATAAAATTCTCAAAGACAGATTACTTGCTGTATATGAAGAATCCGAAGAACGTCAATTCCAGAAGCTCGTCAGCGAGATGGAGCTCGGCGACCAGAGACCTTCACATCTACTGCGACGCATGAGACAGTTGGCTCAGAAAACACAAGTAACGGATTCAACTTTACACAATTTATGGACATCTCGGTTACCAGCTCACGTACGCGCCGTGCTGACTGTGAGTCAGGACCAAAACCTAGATAACTTAGCCGCCATAGCTGATAAGATTATGGAGAATAACCGTCCAGACGAAATAGCTGAAGTGTCCCAACTTTCCCAGTCTCCAGTTATGACGGAGTTGTTAGCCCACATTAACAAGTTATCATTAGAAGTAGCTTCGTTACGAGGCCAAATCAATAATAGAAGAAACCGATTTGAAGGTCGTCGCAACCAATTTCGCAGCAGGTCGAGATCCCGGTCTATGCCACGAAAGGCTCCTATAACACCGGACAGTCCGAATTGGCTCTGCAAGTATCATCTACGTTTCAGAGGGAGAGCAAGGAATTGCGAACTGCCCTGCAATTGGATCAAACCTAAACCGTCGGAAAACTAGAAACAGCGCTGACCGAGGCGGATGTCAGTGCTATCTTACCGTCAAGCCGTCTATGCGTTACCGACCGCAAAAGTGGGTATCGTTTTTTGGTTGACACCGGCGCCAACATCTCCGCATTACCAAAACAAGGGTCAAGATTATCATCAAACAACAAATACAAATTATTCGCTGCGAACGGGACAGAAATTAAAACATACGGCGAAAAAACGCTGACGCTAAACCCTAACTTGAGACGGCCGTACAAATGGAATTTTATTGTAGCGGATATTAAGCAACCCATTCTCGGAGCTGATTTTCTTGCCTATCATAATATTTTAGTGGATATAGGTCACAAAAAACTAATTGATGGAGTGACTGGATTGATATCACAAGGCTGTATCACAAATTCTTCGATCCCTACAATACGGACATTAAATTCTACGGGTCCCTTCGCCGAAATATTAGAGAAATTTCCGAATATTACGAAACCATTCACTTCTAACTTAAAACCGAAGCACAACGTAACGCATCAAATAATAACAGATGGTCATCCGGTATATTCGAAATGTCGTCCTCTGCCCGCAGATAAATATAACAGAGTAAAAGAGGAAATCCAGCTCATGCTCGAAGCAGGTATATGCAGACCATCGAAAAGCCCCTGGGCAAGCCCACTACATGTTACAAAAAAGAAAAATGGTGATTTAAGGCTCTGTGGTGATTATAGAAAATTAAACGCAATCACGAAACCTGATCGTTACCCGATTCCACGCCTGCTCGACTTCACATACCTCTTGCCCGGGACGAAAATCTATTCCAGGATTGATTTAAATAGAGCATACAATCAGATATTAGTCCAAGATGTCGAAAAAACCGCCGTTATTACACCGTTTGGTCTATTCGAATTCCCTAGAATGCCATTCGGATTAAGAAACGCAGGACAAACCTTCGTCAGATTTTTAGACACAGTTCTATCAGGCTTAAATTACGTATACAAATACGTTGATGACGTATTGCTGGCCTCGGACTGCGAGAGTAATCACAGAAAACATCTAGAAGAAGTTTTTAGAAGATTTAGCGTATATGGCATAACAATAAATCAAAATAAGTGCGAGTTTGGCAAAAGCGAGATAGAATTTCTCGGATATCTTATTACGCCGCAAGGTATAACGCCGTTGCCGGAGAAAGTAAAAGCCATCGCAGACTACCCAAGACCGGAAACTGTACTGCAACTAAGACGTTTCCTTGGAATGATTAATTTCTACAGAAATAATATTCCACACGCAGCAAAATATCAAGCGCACCTAAATAAGTACTTATCTGTAGGCAAGAAAAACGATAAGACTAAAATCTTATGGACAAATGACGCAATAGAAGCATTTAATCAATGTAAGGACAGTTTAAAAAACGCCACCACATTGACTTCACCCTCGCCAGATGCGCCCATATCCCTAATGACAGACGCATCAAACACCTGTGTCGGAGCCGTGCTGCAACAGTATGAAAACAAAAATTGGAAACCATTAGCTTTCTTTTCCAAATCGCTAAGTAAGGCGCAACAAAATTACAGCACATATGATCGTGAGTTATTAGCGATTTACATGTCTGTCAATCATTTCCAACCGTACATAGAAGGCCGTGAAGTGAAGCATTTCGACCGCAGAAAAATGTGTCAAGCGAAAAGGGTTCCCCGCGGAGATTACGACATCTGGAATACATCGCTCAATTTACTACGGACATACGACACCTCGCCGGCGATAACAATCCCGTCGCAGACGCACTGTCTAGAATCGCACAAATAGATTGCCCTTCACCTTTGCAGTGGCACAATGTAGCGAATCAGCAAAAACATGATTCCGAGCTCGACCAGCTGATCCTCGATAACAAACGAAAATGGAAAATAATTGACTTAGGAAATAATACCAAATTATATGCAGAAAATTCTTTATCAAACACAAGACCATATATTCCGAAATCACTTCGTAAACAAGTTTTCGTATATATGCACAATGTGAGTCATCCTGGTATCCGAAACACAAGAAAAATGATCACAACACATTTCTTTTGGCCTAATATGAACACCGAAATTGCAAGATGGGCGAAAGAATGTATATCATGCCAAAAATCAAAAATAACACGGCAATATTCAGCAACATTAGGAAGTTTCCCAGAATCAGCAAGATTCGAACACGTACATTTGGATATAGTCGGACCATTATCAATATCAAACGGAAATAAATACATAATTACTATGATAGACCGCACAACGAGATGGCCGGAAGCTGCGCCAGTACCGGAAGTGACAGCTGATGTTGTCGCGAAAGAATTTATTAAAACCTGGATATCTCGATTTGGATGCCCCGCGACCATAACCACGGATCAAGGAAGACAATTCGAGTCCAACTTATTCATTGCACTTACAAAAGAGCTCGGTATTAAGAAAAACAGATGCACGAGTTACCATCCCCAGTCAAACGGGATGATAGAGCGCTGGCACAGATCTATGAAAGCTGCTTTGATGTCCCGCGGAAATACAACGAATTGGTCATCTGAGTTACCTTTTGTATTGCTTGGATTGCGATCAGCACTACGCAGTGATTCTAACATAAGCCCCGCTCAGATGCTGTATGGAACAAATATCCGCCTTCCTGGTCAATTTTTGGAACCTAAACTACAAGAAAATTCACCTGAAACCTTCACACAAGAATTAAAAAATATCATGGGTCAATTAAGTCCAATGAAAACTGATCACCACTCGTCACGAAAATCATTTATTCACTCCCATATCAAGTCATAGAGAAGCAAGATAAATTTTTCAAGATACAATTAAATAATAGAACGGCGATAATTTCCATAGCCAGATTAAAACCTGCATTTATTGCACAAGAACAAATCGAAGAACAAGATAAAAATTTACAGAAAGAGGAAACCTGCAATAATAACACAAAACTCAAACATGAAAACATTAGCTCAAATAACAATACGTCGGGAACATCAAGAACTAGATCGGGTAGAATAATACGTCCGGTCGTTCGATTTACCGTATAGGTAACAAACAAGTTCGTATATCGCAAACGCGACAAAACGTATCGTCTTGTAACGTTTATTTTATATACATATAGCACATAAGGTTCGATTTTTTTATTTTCAATGTATGATTTATTTTCTGGTTTATTTTTTTTTTGTTGTTTTTATTTCTAATAAAGGGGGGAATACTGTAGGTGTATAATATGTAATGATGCAATAATAATATTAATAATAAAATTCCGCAAACTGACAAATTATAGAGGTCACGAAATATTAAGTTGGCATGTTACATTACGCAATTATAGTTTACTTTTAATTTACATTATACTAATAAACACACTCTCTGTTCAACCTTGTTTCCTTTACCATCTCCGATCTTAACTTCATCACCTGGTAATCAGAGCTTCCATTTGCTCTCCTGGTGGTAGGGTGCCTAACACCCGCCTGGTTTGTTACCACCGTACGCATGGTGAAAAACCCGTGAAATGCTTCACGCGCGTTTCGGGATCAGCCAGCGTACAACCAGAGCTCGAGTGGAGATTGCCGCGACAGATTCGGTCCAGTGGAGGCATCCGTCGAACCGATGCCGGGAGGACTGCATCGACCCACCGGCCAGGGAGACCCGTAGAAACGGCTGTCCCGCTGGCCGCCCGTGGCACAGTACAGGGGC